TGTAATATCTCTGTGGCTCGATCATAGAAACTGAGTAAATTCGATACACAGGATCTTTCAGATCGAAAACCATACTGTCTGTCTGATATTATATCATTTCTCTCTAGGTGTTCTACCCATTTAGTTTTGATTAGTTTTTCCAATACTTTCACTATTACACTTGTCAATGATACAGGTCTATAATTGAGGGGGTCTTCCCTGCTGCCACTTTTGTAGATTGGAACTATGTTAGCCTGTTTCCACCCGTCTGCTACGATTCCTGTAAACAGGGATGCCTGAAAGATCAGGTGAAGTGGAATGCTGAGCTCAGATGCACATTCTCTCAGAACCCATGGTGAAACGCCATCTGGGCCAGCTGCTTTGTTCTTACCGAGCTCCTTGAGCATTTTTTCCACTTCGTCTCTAGACACCTCTATGTGTTCTATGTTGTTCTCTGGAATTCTTATTGTATCTGGTTCCCTAAAGATTTCATTTTGTACAAACACACTTTGGAACTTTTCGTTTAGTGTTTCACACATTTCCTTTTCATCTTCCGTGAATCTATTTCCCATTTTCAACCTCTGAATATTATCCTTTACCTGCAATTTGTTGTTTATGAATTTATAGAATAGACCTGGTTCTGTTTTACATTTGTCCGCAATCCCTTTTTCAAAATTTCTTTCTGCCTCTCTCCTCACTGCCGTGTAGTTGTTTCTCGCATCTTTGTATCGCTGGTATGTTTGGGGGTTCGGCCTCTTCCTGTATTGATTCCATTTTTGTGTCTTTCGGTCTCTAGCCCTCTCGCAATTTCTATTGAACCAATCCTGTTTCCTAGTTCTGCATCTCTGTTTTGGTATAAATTTTTTTGTGCCTTTATCATATATTTCACAAAACTTGCCATACATCTCATTCACTTCCTTGCCTAGCATCAAGTGTGTGGAGTACTTTCAGTGCAACTTAACAACAGAGATCCACTGAGGCTCACCCCCCCTCTCCTCCTCCAGAAAGAGGTGTTTTATTGCATTCAATGTTGTTTTTTATGACACCAGTCCCCGTGGTGTAGTGGTTAAGACGCTCGTCGGGTGTTTCGCGAGCGCTTTGTCCTGGGTTCGTATCCTGGCCAGGGAGGATTTACTGGGCGCAAATCCTTAACTGTAGCCTCTGTTTAACTCAACAGTAAAATGGGTACTTGGTTGTTAAACAATTTTACGGGGAATCGTATTCCAGGGAATAAGGATTAAGGACTTGCCTGAAACACTACGCATACTAGTGGCTGTACAAGAATGTAAGAACTCTTGTATATATAAATAAATAGAAAAAATAGATAAATGACAATTCATTTAACAAAACATTATGGCTAATACAGAGGAACCTCGGTTAATTAATTTAATCTGTTCTGGCACCGATCTCGTCATGTGAAACACTCCTCTTGCAAAATGAATTTCCCCATTTAAAATAATGGAAATACAATTAATCCATTCCACCCAGAAAAACATCAATATGAAATTGTATAATGTAATTATAATACATGTAATTACTATAAATGTGTTCAATTGTTTTATTATAGTGTTTTCAATTGTACTTTACCTTATGATAAGTCGTTGCAGGCTTGAGGGAAACGATGTAGAGGTGGGGAGGAGGAGGAGGGGAGGGGTACTGGTGTGGAAGGAGAATCAACCTCTGAGTCAGGCGGGCTCTCTCTCCTTGTGAATTTCACCCCCGGGTTGTGGTTCACTGTCACTTGCTCATCTTTTCTGTACCTTTCCAAAGAACGTGTCTATCAACACTTTCTTTCGTCTTTCTTTTAGGATATCCCTCTTCCTCTTGACAGCACTATCTTTAGCAAACATCTTCTTTGGTGACATCGTGGGTTACAAATTGTTGTCACAAAACCACAAGAAAACCAAAGAAAAGCACAAATAAATGCAGAGGGATGCTTATCCTGCGGGATAAAACAGCAACACTGTCGCCGGAGGCATCCATGAATTTGCGAGAACCAGTGGGAACGTTAGGAAGCATCACGTGGTTTTCTCGTTAACCGAGCAGAAGCTTGTCAATCGAGACAAATTTTCTGCAAGTGGCTCGCTCCTTACCTGAAATGCTCTTAGATTGAGCTGTTCGTCACCCGAGGTTCCTCTGTATTGGAGCCATAATGTAAATTGGTACATACAATAATGCTTTGGTTGAGGATATCAAACATATGGCTGAAGGAAGTAAGCTATAGGGAGGAGAAGGAGAATATAAATGAATGGAGAAATATATATGAGTGTTTATAAAAAATGAAGGGAGCAGGATGACAAGGTGAATGACAGAATAAACACCACCCATTCAGGGCCTGGGGAACAGAATCCCAGTCTTATGGAGAACATGAAGCTACCACCCTCACAACTGCAAGCAAATGACAAAAAAAAAAAAAAGCTAAAGAAATGAAAGGTAAATGCCACACTTAACATAGGGCATATAATGAAAGTGAGAGATGGAGTGGAAAAAGTAGACTGGAGATTTAAGGTAGATACATAGTGTAAGCTAAAAATTGTACTGTACAGTTTAGTATATGAATTATTTAGTTCAGTATAAGGGAAACTCTTGATTATTTGGAGTACGCTCAAGTTATTTGCATACAGTGTACTCTAAAATATACATTAGGTTCATTAAGTGGATTATATGTGGATATTATACTTTTGTTCTAAAGTGCTTTATTTTTCTTTACTTTTGCTTTAAAAATCCTTTGTTAATCCTTACTTTTGATTTCAGTTGCTATCACTTTTTAATTTTGTTCTAATTTCTGTTTTTACCTCATTGGCTCTTACATTTTCCATAATAAGTTGCTAAAATTTAAGTTCAAGTGTGTAAGTGTCTCTGACTAATATCGGAGCTTTATTTTATATATACAGTGTGTGTGTGTGTGTATATATATACTATGTATATAGGTATATATATATACTATGTATATAGGTATATATATATATATTTATTTTTATTTTTACGCACAATGCCTAGATTTTTATGACTGATGTCTCGTGCTTAGTAATGCCTCTATGTTGTCACAGTTGCTCATCTAGATATTTATTTGAGTACTTGAGTAATTACATATGCAATACAGTATATGTATACACTCTATAATATACTGTAGTTATAAATTTAGGAAATAAAGTACCTTGATGGAAATTGGGCCCAAGGATAAAGAAGGCTCTTCCTTTTCAATGATAAACTCTACAAGCTTTAGAATAAGTGCTATTGTGAACCTATTTGATTACAGTATTAAAATCTGAATTTTAGAGAGCCGATGCTTACCCCTGATTTACTGAAAGTGATTATGAATGTTACAATTATTCCAATATGACTTAAGTTTCAAAAGTTGCAGGTATTGTGACCAAATTAGGTTCATGTTCATCATGTAGAGTGTGGGCACATGATTTGCTATATAAATGATACTTAGCAATGCCATGTTCCTTTACAAATAAATATAGATCAGGTATAAAACTTTTGAGTTATGTTTCTAACAAATCTTCAGTTCAGTATTAGTAAACTGTGTACAGTAATTATAGCCAATGTACGCAACATTGTACGCAACCAGAGTATCGTACAGATCCTATAGTTCTTGTATGTAAACCTAGCTACTGTATGTAATCTTAGTAAATTTATGTGACAGTAGTCACTGTTCGTTCCCCTAGTTTTCTGAACCATAGCTGGTATTGATGACCCTAAATTTTCTTAAATAGTAGCTTAACTCTGGGACCATGAGTGTGACCCCCTGTGTTGTTATCAGGTCCTCCGTCTGCTGCCCTTATCTTCTGCCCTGCTATCCCTTTACTGATGATTTTTCAGTGCCTTCCCTCATACCTTCATCTCCTCCATCCTCCTATATTCCCCAGTCTGTACACTAGAACTTACTTGGATTCCCTCTGACACTCTTCTTAGTATCTGCTTGAATGCTAGTATGGTTAGTAATGTAAGATATCTAATTACCTAGTAATTATCATTCTAGATGTTATCCTTAATGTCGTTGATAAGAATGTGCCAGACATATCAGCCCTCAAATACTAAATAAGAACTTGGCTCATTGTAAATCCTTATAGTTTGTTTATTGTCTCCTGCTGTACTCCAGCATTTGTTGTCTTTATTTTGCATTTTTTTGTTAGTGCTTGCTGCTTGTAATATTAAAAAAAAAAAAATTGGGGCAAATTTATTGTATGTAGTACTGTTATGCATAATGGATAAATGTTTGTATTAATGTACAGTACTTTTTTATTATTGTTTGCTTATGTTTTGTTCTGGTTTTGTTGCTTTTGTCTACGTAGAGAAATACTAGAGTTCACATTTTTAACAACTGCAGTATCATCTGCATCACAAACATTGCTAGGGATGCTATGAAACTGGCGGTGGCAGGCTTATAGTATGAGGTAAGGTGAGCTACCATTTGGCTCACAGGAAATGAAACGTGAAATTTCCTAATGCAACATATAATATAGGGACTGGTGGTAAAATGATTGATTTCTATAGTTATGCTAGATGGGCTACTACTTAGCAGATAAAGGAATATGGGATTTGACTAGTAAGTGAGCACTATGCAGCTCACATTAGATGACTGTGGACACATTTTGCACGGTTGGCATGACAAAAACAAACAAAATTAACTCTCATCACAGTAACATGGATTTAGAGCAGTAACAGGCAGGTATCCTATTGGCTTGTACCAGTATCACTTATATATCGAATGGCTTACTCCTCATTGTTATCATCATCTGTTTCACCGAGTCTTACCGTTATCCTGCTTGACACAGTTTAGTTGGTGGCGTATTGCTGCTACTGTGGGTTAAGTTGTAGAATTTGTGCTTGAGTTACCACTATCACCATCACCACCACACCTGCTCCCCCTATACTACCAACGCTCCTCATCACCACACCCGTGTCCTTGGTGGCAGCGGGAAGGTAGCAGCGAGGAGGACCGGTAGCTCACAGGTGTAGAGGCATTGCTTACACCCAAGATCCTTAGTGTCTGATCTCTTCTTCTGTGGCAGCCTTAACCCAGCAGACGGCACCCCAGCATGTGGACAGAAGGGTTGCCCATGATGACCCACTTCAGCAGGAGGTATTCCAGCAGCACTCGACCCACAAAGAACAAGCATTCAACAAGACTGCAGCTCCACCAGATGATTCAGCTAAGAGTGGACAAACAGAGGAGAGGGGTTGCAGTCCCATTACTGTGCTTGAGGCACGGCCTGAGATGGACCAGGGGACAGCAAGACCACTTTCCAGGGGTAGTTCTCACACCATCACCACAACTACGAGCTGGGGAGCTCCAGTGTCTACAACTACCAATATTCAGCTTTGTGACAATGAGTTGGCTCATTGTGTGCAGCTTACTTTGCACTCAGAGAGCCGTGTTACACTACATGCTCCTGAAGAAATCTGGGAGGAGCTACGAAATGTCAGGCAACAGCAAGAGCAGCAGCAGGCAAAACACCAGCAGCAACAAGAGCAGCAGCAGCCAGAACAACAAAAGCAGCAGCAGCAGCAGCCAGAACAACAAAAGCAGCAGCAGCAGCAGCCAGAACAACAAAAGCAGCAACCAGAACAACAAAAGCAGCAGCAGCAGCAGCCAGAACAGCAGCAGCCAGAACAGCAGCAGCAGCAGCCAGAACAGCAGCAGCAGCAGTCAGAACAGCAGCAGCATCCAGAACAGCAGCAGAAGCAGCAGCCAGAACAACAAAAGCAACAGCAGCAGCAACAGCCAGAACAACAAAAGCAGCAGCAGCAGGAATTACATGAAAAGGTGTCTAGGGTAGAGATAAGGAGTAAAGCTGATGATGAAACGTCAGAAATATTACCTGTACGAAAAGGGCAGCAAGAGGAGAGTCTCCTTCACCCAGAGGAGCGCATTAGCATTAGCAGTGGAAAGGATGATGAAATCATACAGGAATTGCATGAATCAACAGTTAATAGAATGGAAAGAATAAATATTTCAGATGGTGTTATTGACATTCGGCAATCACTCGCTGATCATGAGCTTGCAGAAAGTGTAACAGTGTCAGCAGAATCCATCATTGACCCCTATCATGAAAGCCAAGATCCATGCAAGAACGTCTCTGCTGATATACTAGAAGCAACCGCGGGTATAAAAAAAGATGAATTAATGAAAAGTTTAAATAGACAAATGTGCAAGGAAATGGATGCTTCAAATGAACTTAAAAGGCAAATAACCAAGAAAAAAGGGCAAAGATTGAAGATCTATCACCCAAAGAAAACACTGGCATATGCCGAGTGAGGAAGAAGTTGAAAAAAGATAACTTTTTTACCAATTGAAATTCCTATTGAGGCATCAAGAGAATCTTTGTGGAAAAATCTAGCAAGAAATGAATTTGAAGACCCAGCTGCTTTAAGCAAAGATTTGTTTATGTAGCAAATGAAGCCACAGCACCATCAGCACACCGTCTGACGACACTCATGATAACTTCGAATTCAAACGAATCGACCGACGATGCAGAATGCATGCAAACGACTCAACCAGAAAAGAAAGGGAAAACGATATTCCTCAGGATCTGAAACGAGAAGGAAGTAGTATGGTAGTCAGGGAAGAGTCTGAACAGCAAGGGATGGGAATAGTACAGTCAGCAGTTGTGAGCGAGCGTCTTTCCGGAAGTGAGAGTGGCGCTGTGCCTCGTGCAGAGCGTCCTGTGCGGCCAGCACCTCGCACCACTACCTTGCTTAAGGTAAAGGTGGAGAAGAGACCTGTTGGCAGCCATCCTCAAGTACGAGAAAGAATTGCACACGAACACCAAACAGTAGTCCGGGTCCCTTCTGTAGAGGAGGAGATGCGTGGACTAATGCAAGAAGTAAAGGAAGCAACTAGTCAAATAAAGCAGGAAGTTAAAGAACTGCGACAAGCTGACACACCTACTCCTGACACCCCCACACCTTTGCGGGAGTTTAAGGAATTTTTGAACAGAGAAGAAGAACAGGAACAGGAGCGTCTTCCAACAATTAGAGAGATTTGTCGTGAGAATGAGGAAGATGCTTTTGTCAGCACTGGAGGTGAGCACCTTTGTGAAGAGGAGCAGTATAAACTTGGATCGAGTGTAGCAGTTCAAGAGTGTTTCATCCCAGAGCAAGTTGTTCAGTCTGACTTTGTTGATACTATTCATCCCAACAGTCAGTATTCTTCTTTGGAGGGTTACTATGCTGTGTCTGTTAACCCTTCTCAAGCTGCCAAGTACACACCCTTTTCCACTGAAATGGTTCCTGAGGGATACTTTGACGAATGTAGGATTAAATCTGAGCTTGAGAGCCCCTCAAGCCCTGTAGATAATAGTGATTTTTGCCCTGTAGATAGTATAAGTAGTGCAATACCTCCTGATGGTAAAGAACAAGGCCAGTCTAAGCTTAAATCCTTCTTGAGGAAAGTTTGTAAATTAACATCCAAAGGGCTTCATAAACCTGAAAGTAGGAAAGTTGATGATCATGGGGAAAATGTATTAGATAGAGATAGTGAAATTCCAGGTACAGCCAGATGTCAATCAGAAATTTTGGAAAAAAGTGGGTTAAAATTAAATATTCATAGAGGAATGAAGTCACCAGCTTATGAATTTGTAAGTGTAGTGGAGCCTGACACAGTTAAAAATAAACATGATGAAAGAGAAAAAAGTACAATTGGGGAAAAGAAACAAAATGAAATTTGTGTGAAAGGACTGAAAGAGTCAGCTGTAGACCCTTCAAATGAAGTTGCTATTTTTTCAGTTAACGGTAATGAGTTGACGGAAATGGGAGATCCACAGGCAACAGTATCAGATTCACTAATCATAAGAGCATCTAATACTGAGTTTTCAGTTTTGGAATCTGAGTTTAGTAAAGCATGTAAATTTCAGTCACCTGTATTTGAATTACCGCTAATAACACAAGCCAAAAGTGTGTGTCCAGTATTAGAGTTACCACACACTTTAACACCTCTCACTAAGTCTCCAGAATTAGAAGTGACCCACACTGAGATGCATCACATTAGGTCTTCAGAAGTAGCATTACCACTCTCTGAAGGGCATCATACCGAGTCATCGCAATCAGAATGTCAAAACAATAAAGTGCCCATCGGTGATTTGGAAGTATTCAAATTCCCACCCACTGAAGTGTCTCACATTAGGTCTACAGAGCAATTGTCACCACATACTGAAGTTTCACACACTAAGTCTTTGGTATCAGAATTTACACTTCCTGCAGTGTCTCATACTGGTTCCTCAGCACCAGACTTAACAGATATCAAAGTTCCCCATATTGAATATTCAGTATCCAAATTATCAGGCAGTGAAGTTCCTCTCATAGAATCTTCAATATCAGAGTTACCAAGCACTAAAATGTTTCATACTGCACCGTCAGATTCAGAATTACCTGATGATAAAGTATCTTACAATGAATCATCATTATCAGAATTACCACAGACTAAACTGACTCTCACTGAACATTTAGTATCAGAATTACCATACATTGGAGTGCCACTCTCTCAGTTTATAGCATCAGAATTACTTCATGACACAGTGCCTCACAGTGAGTTTTCTTCACTAAAATTACCACAGTTACAGTTGCCAGAACTGCAACACACTGAACCTCTAATGCCACAATCATTACTTGCTGAGGTATCTAACATTAATTCTTCAGTGACAGCAGGGTCACACACCGAGTCTCTAGCAGTAGAGCCATTTGGCTTCTGTTTTACATCAACTGAACCTTTGCTGTCTGATGAATCAGCTGTCACATTGTCAAGTGGAAATTCATTATTCATCGTTTCTCAAGACCCACAAATTCAGACTGTACCTGCATTGTGTGAGGTAAGGGAGACTGGCAGCAAAGAAGTGTTTTCACATTCAGCAAGCGATGTTCATATGAGCTTACCAGTGCAAAATCTAGAAAAAGATAATTATAATTTGGCATTTAAAGATTTAGAGATCAATTCCCAGAATGATGAAATGTATGTTACGAATACCTTAGCAAACTCAAAAGCAGAAATAATCAAAGATGGAGTAGGTACCCAAGTTTTGGAGTCAACTGGATCAGAGTTGTCCATAGGGGAAACTCCAGTTATACAGTCAAAAAGAAAGTCATTGCTTAGTGAATCATTCACTACAATAAAGCACACAGTAACAGGATTCAATGAAGATTTAATTTCAGAAACTGTTTCTCCAGAGATATACACAAAGGATAAGCATTGTGTGGAGCAGTTTGCAGTAAAGCCTGAGCAATCCCCAGAAGCACTGGCATCTGATGCTGATATTGACAATACTTTTAACTTCAGTGTGAAGGCTGATGATGGGTGTCTAGATGTGTCAGAGGATGACTTGCTTGGGGAGAGGTCACAGTCAGAATCATTCATTGCAGAAGATATTCATGTTGCATCACTGGCTGGATTTGCTAAGATCTGTTCATTGTCAAGAGGACAGGTTTATGAAGATGATGATTATATTGAATTTCCCAATTCAGATGTTGTTGAAATATTAGAAACAGTTTTTGAAATCGATGAAACAGAAGACATCAATGATTGCAATGAGGAAAGTAAAGAAAACGAGTCCCATATAGAAACAACTAAAGAAATTGAATATTTAAAACAACTACAAATTGAAAGGAGCGATACATCATACTTTGAAGATCAATCAAATATGTATGATGACCATGATGAAATACAGTTATTATCTGAGGCAGATATTAAAGCAATGAATGAATTTTCAGGCTTGCTTAAGGAGCCAAGAAGTGATATTGAGCAGTGTAATGAGGCCGAGTTTGCAGCTATACCTGAACCTTGTGCTTTGCAGGAAAATCAAGAAACGGGTGAATCTCTGATGATGATGAATAATGCAAAAGAGGCAGTAGGATTGAAAGAGCTAGAGATTGAAAGTGATTTTAATGAAACACAAGACAGTAATTTCTCAAGAACATTATGTAAAGCTGATGAGTTTGAACATGAGGATGAAGCAAATAAAGATAAACTCATTGCACCATATAAAATTCTTCATGAAGATATAACACCAAGTGGCAAATTTCTTGGTGCTGCAACATCGGAGCCAAATGAAGAAAAAGGAATAGACATTGGAGAAATATATAACTCTCAAGAAAGCAAAGATGTTGATAATTTTTTGATTCAAGAAACTTTGTTCTTCAGACCTGTTCATGAGAAATATATACAAATAACATGCCCTGAGAATGAATCTGATGATGAAGGGGTATCATCCTCAGTAGCTGGCCAAACACAAGTTGACAAGGAAAGTATTGAGATTGCCGCTAGCATTCCTTCAGAGCAGGTAAGAGAAGAGGGATTACATAACTTAAGCCCCATAAATGAAACTGTGATAATCCCTAAAGGAATAATGTCACATGGTCTTGTTAGTGAGGGAGACGATAGCGATCCTTCACAGCATGATGAGCAAATGGTTGAAGATACATCAGAAATAGAAACCATGCAATACACTGACTTCAGTTTTATTAAAAGAGGTTCAAGATGTGAACCAGAAGAGAAGACTCCATTAAAGGTGATCAGTGATGTGTCTGAGTGTAGCGAGACCAAAGCACTACAAATTAGCGCATCTGGCGAGCCACACAGAACACTTGTACACAGTGTTGTCCGAGTAATAGAAGCAGATGAGGTTTTTGAACCTGAAGAAATAGAAGATCTACCATCACTAGAGACATTGTTAGTAAAACAGCTGAAACAAGCACATTTAGTAGAAGAAGAAGAAACATTCATAACATCAACAGTAGAACAAGTTGTGGTGTTTGATGCACCCTCTAAGATATTGCATGATGTAGTTGATATGAATGAAACTTCTCAAAGCAAAGAAACGATTAAATTCCACCACAAAGAAGTTGATCGAGATAACTGTGGTACAGTTAAATCACAGGCATTTGAAATTGACACAAACATCACCTTTTCAGAAGATGATTTTATGGTTTTAACTCCTAATATAGAAGGTGCAGACACATTGCTAAAACCATCTAAAACAAATCCGGCAATAGCAACTAGACTTGCAGAATCTGATCAGTACATTTTGAAAACTTCAGAGCCCCTAAGAAAGACACACATTCAGTATGAGTTGGAAGACATAGCAGAAAGTCAAGATTATTTGCCTGTGATAAATGACACAACCAATATTGTTGTTGAAGGGGAAACTGAAGAAAACACATGTGTATCCCAAAACATTGAGGAATATTTGAGTAATAATGAGAAATTTAATAAATCAGCACAGTATGAAGAGTCAGAAGTAACTACAGATTCTAAAAATGTTATATTTGACCAAAAAGAACTCATCCCCGAAGAATATAAAACAGAAACACTGTTGGATGAATGTGATCCACTCCAGTTGCAGTCTATATTAGGTGGTGGTGATATGGAGCTGTCTTTGAAATTAGATACAAAAGAGAGTGAACCTATTCATTTAGAGAGAGAGACTCAAAAAATTAAAGAAAACAATTATAGGGAGTCAATAGCAGATGAAAAACAATTTCTTGAGGCAGACATATTGGTTACAGACTCTGAAATGGTGTTACTTGATATGCACAATGGTAATTACTCACAAATAATGAATAGGGAGGACGTTTCAGTGATAGATAATATAGTACATGATTCTGAACAAATGTTACCTAACCATAAGCTAGTCCAGGATGCACAAGTACCTATCAGTGGCATAAAATTGGATATCAGTGTAAAGGAGGCCAATGTATCCTTAGATTTACAGACAGATGAATACTTGCATCAAGATGTGAAGCTTAAGCCACATCCACCAGTGCCTGAAAATGCACAGGTAACAAAATGTAATGTCTTTAGACCAGTTGAATTGAAGGAATATAAGCAGGATGCAAAACACCCACCAGATGGAAGTATTAAATATGAGAAATTAGAATCTGAATCGGAAAACAAACCTGATGAACTTTTTGTGGATGCAGATTTTATGACACCTCCAGAGCTAAGCAGTACAGAGACAGAGGTGAGTGAAAAAATAACAGAAGACGAGAGAGGTTCATGTTTGGTTAGTCCAATTGTAAATAAGAATATTTATGTTTTAAATTCTGTTTCTGAAGAACTTAAAACAATAATATTTGAATTAGAGCAGAATTTGTTTGGTGCTACAAGCACAGATATTATGATAACACCCATTCTTGCAAGGTTGGAGCAGATGGAACAAGAAGTGGTTAACCTTGATTCCATTCCCAAAGCACCAGAGTCCAGTATTCCTGTTTCATTACTTGATGTGCAGATTGATGATGTAGTGTCTACTTCACAGGCTTCACCATCTACAGAGCAGGAACTAGAAATCCATTCAGAAAAGTTAAACTTGGGAGAATCTGACAACAGTAAGGTAAAGATGCCTGTTGGGTTGGGAACAGAATCCTCTACTTTAACTCTCCCTCGTGGACACAGTCCTGGTGGGGAGATAAATGGACAGAATATTCAAGATACTTTAACAGATGTTGAAGATTTATTCAGTGATGGTGATCAATCACCAGTATTAAAAAGAAAATCGCTTTTATTGACATCTCGGAAAGAAATGGGAGCTATAACTGATACAGAAGATACAGACTTGTCTGGCGAGGAGGATGACATTATCCAGGAAGAGAAAGACATACCCACAATTCAAGAATTAGGTCTTCTTCCAGAACCTAACAAGGATATTATCAATTTGACTGAGGGATATGCCAGAGAAGCTAGTCCCCTTTTGCACTCGGATTCAGAGCCAGAAAGTGAAGCTATACAAGGAAAGCACAAGAAAAACATGAAGAAGATAGATCAGTTAAACCAGCCTGACACCTCTGCTAATGATGATCCCGAGTGTCTTACTGATGTTGAAGATATGTTAGCCTCAGGTGATGAAGCGGCAGTGGCAATAGTTGAAGTTGAAGACACACTTCCAGACCACTACTTGGATCAAAATGAGGGAGTCTCTGATAAGGAAAGGCTAGAAGCTCCATCTACATCTCCCAAGGTCCTGTTGACAAGGGGTGAAGATTCAAGTGGTGATGAGAAAGTCATTTTGAGGCAACCTAGACATAAATGTAAAGGCCATCTGAAAGTTAAAGCTAATGAAGAAGGAACAACTGATGTTGAGGACTTAGAATTAAGTGATAAAGGAGAAGGTAAAGAAAATTTAGAGACATGTAAAAATGAAAGCAAAGACAAAATAAGAAAGATGAAACGCAATAGGCGAAAGACCACCCCAAAAAAGTCTATTGGAAAGATGCTTAGGACTGCAGTTGATGATTCCAGTGGGTTGACTGATGTTGAGATTTTATCTGGTGATGAGGATCAGGAAGTTCTGGAGGACGAAGAGTTTGATTTGAAAGTGCCTGAAACGGAAATGGACATTTTAACAGATTCTGAAGATGTAGAGTTATCTGACCCAGAAGAAGTGGCTGATCTATTGGCCAAGCCTTTGGATAAAGTTGAAGTGCCCCTTATGCCAGATCCTCAGTGTGAAAAAATTAAAATTAGTGAGGTAGAAGAGGCATCACAGGAAGACTCTGGAGGAGAGACTGATCAGGAAGAATTTGAATTTAGCAAAAAGGATGATGCAAAGCCTTTGAATCCTCGGCAGAAAGTTATTTATGAGCCTATTGTAGCTGAAGTGGAGGAGGCTACTGATATTGCTGAAGGAACATATGAAGCTGCACTTACAGATACCGAAGATTTAGATATTAATGAAAAGGAAGAGGAGGAAGTAATCACTGATATAATAAGCCGTATACCAAAAGAGAGAGAGATTTACACAATTACAGAAATGGAGTCATTCAATGGCCAGATTACAAAGAAAGAAATGTTGAAGGATGTCCATGCTGAAGCAAAGCAACAAATACAAAATGTAGACTATACTGGATTAGCTGTGCAAGAAGATTTTGAAGATAATTCTCAGACAGATGTAGAAGATCTTGAGGATAGTGGAGAACATGGAAAAGTTGATATTAAAATTATTGCAGATGATACATCAAAGAAAGAGGAAGGTCTCACTGATGAGGAAAGTGTGGACGAGTCTGACATTGATGAAGAAATTCAAGAGCCAGCAAGGCAGGCAGGGAAAAAAAGCAAGAGACTGCCCCTTGTTCCTCAAGTTTCTGAGGTCCGATTCATCGAGACAGACCAAGGACCATTAAGCATTATCATTACACCAGATATATTTGAGAGCAGTCAACGTCAAGTTCCGAAAGACCAAATAACAAATGTCGTTTTCTTAGAATCAGAAGAGAAAGATGAGGCTACTACAGATATTGAAGACCTCTCTGATGGAGAAGAGGAAAAAACACCACCAAATTTAAAGGTACCTCAAAATAAACAAGAGCCAACAACTGATACTGAGGACTTTGATATTGACCCTTCTGAGGTAGACAGACCTCATAGTCCATTACCACCAAATATTAGGTATAATGTTTTGCCAAGTCCTAAAAGAGAATTAATTCATATTAAGGAAGACAAATATGGCATCCCACAAGTAACTGTTCAAAAGTTAGAGAAAGATGAATTATTTGTGTCCGACATTGAAGATTTGGGTGCAACGGATACAGAGGATATAGAAGTAACTGAAGAGGAAGCTTTGAGGCTTGTTGGGGTAACTGAAGATACTGTATCAGATTTTGAATTTTCTGATGCAGGAACTACAGAAGTGACAACAAAAATGACTCATAAAATGAAGTCAAGGCATGTAGAGCCTGAAGAAGGTGGTGGTACTGATGTTGAGGAGCTTCCTGCAACCAGAAAACCTCAACGCAAGGTCAAAGCCCATTCCAAGTTCATACCTAAAAAACAGGAAGATGATGGTCATACTGATACTGAGCTACTTAGTGACCAAGATGAGAAGGAAAAGCATCCAGTACGCTTGGAAAGCCCAGGTGGTCACACTGATGTGGAGGATTTTGAAACATCGGAGAATGAGGAATTGGAAGTGCCTGACCGAGAGGATGTGCCAACTCCAGATATAATACGTGATGCAGCAATAAGGAAGATGATAATACAGAAAGAAGGACTTGGTGGCACAACTTACACAGAAGATGCACATGTTGCACCAGACCGTAGTAATCTTCTAGAGATTGAAGGAGAATCTGGAGGCATAACAGATGTTGAAGACATGGAAGTTTCTGGAGCAGAGGATGAAATTATCCCAGATCATCCTGCAGTAGATATGCCAGAATATGAAACATCAAGTGTGGATATTTCAGAGAAGACGAGCATCCCATCAGGTAGTAACGAGGCTAAACACATAAAGGATAATCTTCTTCTTCCCGAAGACAACTTTAATAATCTCACGGACGTTGAATCCCTTGGTGAGGGGGAAGGTAACAGGTGTGCATCTAACAGCGGTTTATTGTCTGGTCAGCAACTAACAAATGCTGTAGAGAGCTGTGCTGTAGATGAGCTTTATCCCTCCTTACCTTTTGCTGACCCTAAACTCTGTATACATCCAGGGTTGTCCTTAGAAAGTGATCCATTTTGTGGTGAACTGACCAATCCACTAGTTGTAGAGGCTGAGCTAGAACAAGTTTACTACCATGCTCCACAGGAGCAGCCACAACACACTGAATTGGAGTTAGAAGCCTACAATGGTTGTGTAATAAGGAGGAGACAAGTTGTGGCATCTACATGCCAAGCAAGGGAAGTACGTAGGTTTTTATCTCGGGATCGAAATTCTCCCCTTCAACAGACAGAAATAAGCAATTATGCTTATCCTGCCACTCATAAGAAGGGGTTTAAAACTATCCTCTATTTAGAACAGCCAAATTTACTTGATGCAATTAGTATAAGTGACACTATGTGTGATTCAGATTACCTTAAAAATCAACGCCTTCTTGAATTTGATTCTTCAAGCATTGATTCATTTGATGACCATTTTGGTTACAGGGATTCAGATATTGTTACAGTTGTTGACTGTTTTAGTGAGGAAAGAAGCAGTAGTTTTGATGATCTTCCCAGTCCACATCTAAGCAGCATTGGTAACTCTGTTGTTGATTCATTAGGGAGATCATTTAGTACTGATACTAATATCAGTGAATTGTGGTGTTCAAGTCCACCACCAGAAGCTTCATATAACTTAAAGAGCAGTAAAATTCCCCAGACAAGTTCAGAGAAAGATGTTCTGGGCAAAGCTTATTTTGAAACAGAACGTGGTTTACATTCTGACGGTATTAAACCCGAAGAATGTCAAGATGATTCTTTACGTGATGAACATTCCTTTAACGAACACATGACTCGGGCGACTATTCAGGGTTTAAGTGTCAGCAAATCACCTACCATGAGCACTGTAACAAAACTTGAGGGATCCAATAATACTGAATTGGAGAAAAGAATCAGATTAATGACTGAAGATTGTGCAGGTGTTCTTAAACATTTGGTATTTGATAAGCATTCAACAAAGCTCTCAAACATGTTTGAGTATCCCAATGAATGCAATGACCCTTGTACACAAAAATATACAAAAAATCCATCCACAGAATGTTTAGGCCATACCAGTGATATTTATGAAGAATGTTCCCTTAAAGAGGAACATGATGGGAAAAATGAGCAGACAGTAACTGCTGGATGTACTTTAGACCAAGAGATGAAGATGATAAAAGGACCTCATTTTGGAATGTTTAATGAATGCATTCCACAGTCATTAGAAGGTTCAGTTGCATTTGAAGATGATAGTTTGTCAATACATGGGGCACACCATGATGCTCGGTATGATGACAGTATTCTAACACACTATATAAACACATCAATTGGAAGTAATATTGAAAATACCACAAAAATATATAATTTCAACCCAGTAGTGCCTTTTGAAGACGACTCGGGGGTTCACACACATCGTACATCAGGAAGTTTCACTGCTTCCTTTGATAGCTCAACTGTTGAATCAACGGTAAAGGATTATGAAAGTGATTCTGTTAGTCTTGCTGATAGTGCTCTGAGTTTTGAAGACAGATCAGCACATTATACTCACAATTATTCATATCATGATGACTTTTCTCCAACAAGTAACAATAGGCAAATACTCCCAGTTGGTAAATTACCCACTTTTTCCCAAAATCTTAATGTAGATTTAATGCAGACATCAACTAGTGTGGCAAAAGATTGTACCAATTTGATAATTAGTGAGCCTACCTCAAAACCTCCTTTACATTGGCGTCATACTTTACCAAGAATGTATAGACAGCTTAGAGACAGGACAAAATTATCCTCATCTAAAGCACTTAATGACAGTAATAAAGACACTCAGGAGACAGCTAAAGACATTGTTGGGGTTAAAGGACTGATTGAACAATGGGAAGGAATTACTGGGGGAAGACACAGGTCTCTCCCATCATCTCCTGGTGCAGCACAAAAGAGATTTCCACCCTTTGAAGATAAAAAAAAGTCTGTTAAGATGACTTCTGATATTGAAGGTAGGAAATTAGTTGAGCTTGGGCTAAAGAAGAATGAAGTAAAAGATGAATGTCAAAGCCATAAGAGGATAGTTGACACGGAAAGTATATTTGGGGGTAATGTGGCTGAGGAGGTTGCAAGTGTGTGTGATATTATTCAACACTTTGAGGGTAGAGTAGGTCAGATTCACAAGACAAATGCTTCTAAACCAAGGTTGCACAGGGAAATTCAGCCCCCTGCTGACAGAAGACCATCACATCCTCGTCAAGTGGCTACAGTCAAACACCTGCATGAGCCACAAATGCAGTTAAAATGTACTGATGCAATGCAAGAGGTACAGCTTCTGGAACATAATCAGGAACTGGTGGAGAATTCTCAAATGGCTGGGTTTGTTCCTCGGGTAATGGAGTCTCTTTCCATTACAAAGACCTCTAGAGAGGCTTGGGAAGAAGACCCTGCCCTTGCACATGTCCTGAACCCTGCAGGTGAACAGTTTCTTTTGAGTGCTTGGCAAATGACTGTAGTTATTTATTGGTGATGGTTTTATGGTTCATTGATGTCAAGTGCTTATTGCCAGAAGGTATATCCAATCACTGACAGTAGATTTAGATACAGAATGTGTACAAAAAATCAATGGACTAAGAAATAGATAAAAGTAGTAAGGAAAGATAGAATAATTTGATATTACAAAAAAGTAGATTTGTTAGTGAAATTCTTTCTTCAAAAATATTAATGAGTCGAGAAATGGGATTTAACACAAGCTTTGGGTAATTAGATAATTATAAGAGAATGTGCAGCAAAATGAGCCTGTGGAATTGTACAGATGCAACCAATGAAGATACAAATCTTGCTGAAGCCTGTGGTTTAGGTTTGTAGTGTATGATTTGAGGAGAATGGTAGAGCACAGTAATTCTACCCTGCCAGATTCATAGACTAGCCATGCTTTCCTTGCTTCATGTCTGTCTTTGGGTGTTAGTTTAAATCTAATATTTTGTATCTTGTAGATAAGTTTTGAAGACAAAACCATACAACTAGCAGTTAGTATATTAAATATAATAGTAATTTCTTTAAAGATCAAGTGAGTTTTTTTTGTATGTTTTTTATTAATTTTAACAAATGCATCAATATGTAACACTGACTGCATTAACATTTTTGATAATGTGTTGTCAGTAGTATTAACTTCCTAAGTTTGTTTATCTTCACACACACAACCTCTTTTCTCTCCTTTCTTCTGTCAGCTCCTAGTATCTTTGGTAAACGTCCAGGAATAGAATCCTTCTTCTACAAAGGTTTTTTCCTTCCGCCAGGTAATAAGGGTTTGAGTTGTGAAGCTTGGAGCAAGAAAAGTGCCTAGCTGCAATGTTTGACACCACAAGAGCTTTCACTGAATCCATCTACTAGAGCATGTTTTAGCCATTAGTTTAATATTTAGATAGACATTTTACTTTTCACATAGTAGACCAAACAAAAACAAAATATATATATATATACACATATATATATAATATATGATATAAAATATTTTGAGGGGTAGGTTTTCTTCAATATACATTGAATTGAACACAACAGCATTATTACAGTTGCTAATGAGAAAATCAATTGGAGCACTGAGGTGACCCAAACCAGTGATCAGGGCACACCTTTGTACCATGACCTTTTCTTATGGATATTTTCCATTTTATGTATTGTACATATCTTTTACCATCTAGTGGGTGAAGAAACACGATCACCTAGTCTTTCCATTTTATTACAGTGAAACATAGGGGTCACTATTAGGTCAGGTGAAGGTGGTGGTAGTTGCCTTGCACGATAGGCATCTTCCCTCTAGGTCAGAGATGGACCATCCAACAGCTGAATTCATGTTAATTTTTTTTCACTGATAATCAGCGGAGCAAGGTCACAGATAAAGATGAATTCAAGTATGGGTGTGATAATTGTGGGCTTTTCTGTGGGGAGCCTCTTTGGCTTCCTGGAGTTATTGGGCCAATATGTGAATCATAAGACCGGGGCATTAGTTTATGGAGTTCTGCCCACCATAGACCATTTGCCAGATCATGCCCCCCTTCCCTTCCCTCAAAGAGGTGCAAGGAGCAATGGCCCTGGAGAACTTTCCCTGTGGTTGGGGGTTATCCTTATCTGCCATCGACCGGGGTTAGGCACCTAGAAAGGTAGGCATAACAAAAAAAAAACCTACATGGTAAGAAAATTACAACTGAAAGCTGAACAGAGGTAGAACTTCCTCAGTTCCAAAGGAAACAAGCAAACTAGCAAATGTCACACTCCATTGCCCTGTTGCTCAACCTCGCAGCTTTCCCCCCCTTCCCTCAGGAGGGAAAGGAGGGGGAGCCCCAAAACCCCAGCACCGGCGACCCAGCCACTCTAGTTCATCAGCTAATGCGAACCAGGGCTGACACATTTTCTGGCTTCACTTTCCAAGCAGTATTTGCCTTCGAGGTGTCCTCTGTGGTGTCGTTGTGTGTGGTGGCCAGGTGTCCTCAAGAGTACTGGGGTTGCATGTGCTTAGGGGCATCCTTCCCTAAGTTCCCTGTGAGTACTACTTTTGCATGTTAGGGTTCTCTTCCCTGATGCGTTCGGGAACCAATTCCGTAGGGTTTTTTGCTGCTCAGCACTTACCCTGCCCTTGGGGCCAGCTGGGGTTTCATGGCCCTTGTTTGGCCTTGGGTAGGGATTGGTATCTTGCTGGCTGGGGCATCAAGGTGTTGTGTAGCCTGCCTACCTATATGGCGGCCGGTTCCTGTTTTCTCTGGGGACGTTGTACTTTTGCAGGGGTTTTCTTTTGTTTTTGTTTTTCTTGCCTAATGGGGGTCTGCATGATGTGGCTATAGTTCTACTTATAAAATATTGGTGGCCCTCCACTAGACCCCAGTGATTATTCACGTCGCAGAGGTTTCAGTGTTTTGATCTCTCCCCTTGTTAGCTTTGGGTCTTAACCGGTTAGCAACACCTTGCCTGGGCTTCCCGTAGTAGCCAGCCTATGGGCCTTGGAAAACCCTGTCTGGGCTTGGTGGACCTATGGATGCGTCTTCCAAGTTCCAGCCTACCTTGTGCAGGTTTGAAGGTTGCTGTGTACCCTTGTCTCGGGGTGACAGTCACCACTTTTGCTTCCATCATACTGCCTGTTGGGTCAAAGACACCTTTGACCCGGAGTCTTGCGAGTCATGTTCTCTGCTTGTTCTCCAGTACTACTATGATGACATTACTGTTAGGGTACAGGCAGCATCCACATTGTATGCTAGGTTTAGGTTGCTGTAACGCAGTAAGTTGGTTTCCCACCCAAATGCCCCGCTGCTGCCCTTCTTTGGTTATAGGGACCTGGACCTGGGGGGTGTCAGTTGCTTCGACTCTGATTGAGTCTGCACTCACTGGTCCTTCCCCTGTTGTTCATCCTGCATCTTCCCACTGCTTCCGGGTCCCAAACATCTGTGGATTTTGGGGTCAGGGCAGGGTTTTGTTGGTAATGAGACTAGGGCAGCTTCAGGGGCTGCCCCATTCGGGTTGGGGACAGAAGCATTCGTGCCAGTTCCTCCTTCTAAGGCTTCTGGTTCCAACCAGCAGGCCCCCTTCTTTTCAGTCTTTCCCCTGGACTCTGCCTTTTCCGGTATTGAGCCGGCCTCTATACCTTGGAGAGGGGTATGGAGGCCGGCTCTGCCCCTGGGTCCCAACTTGGGAGGATCCCGGGGCTGGGGAGGAGTTGACCTAAGGGCCTTGGGCCCCCTCTTTGACACCACTTGGGTGTTGGTGCCCTCTTCGCAGGGCCACCTCTTTGCAAGTGGCTCGTCTGCTGGCTTTTTGGGGTTTGGATCTCCGTGCGGTTCATACCCCGGGGAGTTCGTATCCGGGACAGGCCGTCTTGGTGAACGTCCTGTCTTGGTTTATACCCCTGTCCACAGAATGGACGGTCGACGCCGACTCCTTCCATTGGCTCTGCCAGATGTACAGACTCCTGGAAGTGGACTTCTTCGCATCTGTGTGGTCTTCGCATCTCCCAATCTATGTGGCACTCATCCCCGACTGTGAGGCTTTCGCAGAGAATGCCTTATGGCAGGACTGGTCAAGGTGGGTTTACCTGTACCTCCCCCCCCCCCTCGGTCCAGCTGTTCCTTCGGGTTCTGGCTCATTTGGAGTTGTTCTACGGTAGAGTAGTCCTCACGGCCCCTTGGTGGCCAGCCCAGCCTTGGCTTCAGGCGCTACTTGCTCGGTGTTCGAACCTGGGGCATTTTCCGCGGCTCTGCCTCTTCAAGCAGGTTGGACAAATCCGGTACATGGCTTGTTCGATCTTCTCTGCTCTTCACATCTGGTCTTTTGACATGGGGTTATCACCATTTGAATGGTGATCGGGTGATTTCATTGATGGTGTCCCAATTGAGAGTTTCGTCTTAGCGACAGTATGTAGTTTCCTGGCGTTCTTTCCGCCATTTTCTCTCTTCATAAGTTTTCTTCTATTTCTGTTTGGGTCGTCTTCTATTTCTGTTCGGGTTGTCTTGTCCTTTCTGTCTTGGCTTTCTCAGGACGGTCATTTAATGCCTAATACTGTCGTCTCTTATCATGTGGTGCTAGCGGAGCCGCTCCAGCTTGCATTCAGGGTGGATGTTACTTCTGCCCCATTCTGTAAGCTTTCTCATGCTTTTTTTCACCTCCGGCCTGCTCATGCGCCACCTGAGCCGTCCTGGTCCTTGGGCAGGGTGCTCTCCTATCTTTCTTCCCCTCAGTTCATGGTGTCCCCTTCGGTTCAAGATTGTTTTTCCAAGGCTCTGTTTCTGTTGGCATTGGCCTCTGGGGGTCAGATCAGTGAGCTTCATGATCTCCTCCAGCACAGGGGTTTCTGCTCTTTCGATCCTGATAGTCAGTTTGTTCAGTTGCAGCCTTCTCCTTTGTTTCTGGTGAAAAATGAGATGGTGGCTTTCCAGATGGGGCCCTTGTGTCATTGATGCTTGGTTGGTTAGACCGGGGGGTGCATCATGTGTTGTCCTGTTGTAGCTCTTCGCTGTTACCTGCATGCATCGGTTCCTATGGCTGGGGATGCGCTTTGCGTTCATCCGATTTCCCTTGTTCCCTGTTCCAGGGCTTGGGTCTTCCAGGTTGTCTGCAAGGTTATTAAGTCCAGCCTGCACTCTATCCTCGTGCCCATGACATTAGAAAGTTTGCTGCATTGTCTGCCGTGTTTGGCAACATGTCTTGGGCTGATATTTAGGTGCGGGGGATTTTGGAGGTCGAACAGAATCCTGGCCACCCAATATTTGGTTAGCATTCCTGCTCCTGGGCATTCCTGTGTTGCTTTGGATTGCAGGTTGCAGCCAGTTGTTTCAACTTCGAGTTGAGGAATGTGTGTGGCAGCTGCCTCCTGGGTAAGTCCCTCTTTTCCTTACCTTTGGTTATGTAGCTCCAGGGAGCCGAAGGGGCTCCCTACAAAAAAACAGCTTTGAATGTATTATAATGCCATTTTCTGGTTGAGCCCCGGAGGCTCCCTGGCAACCGTCCTTCCCTCCGGTCGCCAGTTTTCGCATGTTTGATACTTAGCCTCCAAACTAGAGTGGGTGGGTTACCGGCACGGGGGATCTGGTGGGGGGGGGGGCGGTGGTGGAGTGTGACGTTTGCTTGGGAATTGAGGGAGTGAGGGTTTTTCAGATGCATTGCTCCCTGTGCCTGTGAGCCAAGTTCTGGCTAGTGGTTCCTTGGTGGCAGAACTCCATAGACTAATGCCCCAGTCTAATAATTCGCGTATTAGCCCGATAGCTCCTGGAGCCTCTGGGGCTCGTCCAGAAAATGGCGTTTCATTGCATTTAACGCTGGAATTTTACAATGTCTTGACAATTCAGGATGGAAATGCTGATATTTTATTCTTCCTTTGCTGCAAATAAAATGTGAGATGCTTATACTCAGTGTTAATCAACAAGTCAGGGTGGTTCAGTGGTTAGCATCAGTGGTTGGGAGTCTCAGTTGTGGGTTTGAGTCACCTCAGGGCCCCAGTAGAATTTCTCATAGATATATACAGTATATCACATTTGTGTGATTTCTGTGTGAATGTTGTTGTATTCTACTCCATGTGGATTACAGAAAAACTGTTTCAAAAATATAATATATACTGTATATAGTACTATTAAATAAAATACAGACATACAAAATACTGTACAGTAAATTGTCATATTAAGAAATAAAGATTTCTTCCATTAATAGCTATACAGCTAATCAATATAACCAAAATGTATACAGAATTAGTTTGCAGACGGCTAATTCTCAAACACACATGCTGGCTGCCTGCAATTATTTTTACCTTTGTTAACCCTGACACTTGTGGAGAGTGTCAAGCCATTTTACGTTTTTAGGTGCATGTTGCCCGACATCTGTGCTATAGTTAGTGTTTGCTTTTATTATTTAATAATTTTATATTTAAATCAATCCAGGGTTGAACCGACAAAAGAATTTCCACCTGGTTTTAATTTTTGTTACATATACAACATGATTTTTTCCAAAAGAAATTTTGTTGTTTCACACGAAGTAAATTAAAGTTACTGTAATAGTATTAGTATGAGTGTGCAATATAAGTTTAATGGTTAGTATTTTTTAGTAGGGTGTTTGGTGCTTCACAGCCTGTCTCAAATAGCATAGCTCAGAATGTTGTAATTTGAATGCTGTTTTTATAATCATATAAGCAAAATTATTTTTACTTTGAGTATTGGTTTCTGTTATTTTTTTTTTCTTAATTTCAAAGAGGTTCTTTTGCCTTTTAAATTTGACATTATATGAACAAAATACTCCTGAGGATTCAAGCAAGCAGTGTCAAACAGGCTTACTTTGTTTTCATTTCTGGAGAATAAATTGACATGTGTGACATATGCAGGTGTTGATGTCCACCTGTAACTTTTGTTTGCCAGGGACCCATGAGGCAGCCCAGCTTGTCGAGCAGCAGACACCACCAGTCTCCTACGAAGAAGGTAAATGATGTTGCTTCTAGTTTAGTCCATCCAGTACTTGTACAGTTCAGTCACTAGATTTTTTAAATTGCCTTGGTAATTTACAACCTAAAAATGTTAAATACCACTGCAACTACCACCTTGTTACGATATTCACATATTAAACCACTTTTATCAGACATTAAAACCTTAGAAACACTATACAGCACCACCAGCACCAACATCTCTAACGCTGTTACCACCAGAGTCACATGCACCATTATCATGGTGAATCTTCTGTCACCAGTGCTAATATCACAGTTGTTAATATCACAATTATCAGTGCTACAATGAGTACCTGTAGTAGGATCTACTACCAGCACCACTAACACTAGTGCTAACAACTTGCCAACAGTTCTACTACACTACTTGCATTTCTAATATGCACTGCTGAAGTTGTAGTTGTCATCACCAAGATTGTTCTGCAGGCATAGAGAGGAGCCCTTTCAGTTAACTAGCATGTAAAAATGTAAATAAGCCCACCTACCATTTGAAGTGATTCCTATGATGAAGCCATTGTCATCACATTCACCACAGATGTGAAATATCTGCACAATAATCACACCATCATGACTATTGACACCACCTCTTATACAATAAACAGTATTGTTACTTGTTATCAACATTATCATGACCCCTGGCTGTAACTCTTACCATTATTACTTTCTTTACCTACAACCATAACAACAAAGGAAATCTGATAACTCGGCACTTGAATAGCTCCCAAGTTGAACATACTAACAGTTCGGCACTCTAATATTTTATTAAAAAATATAGTCATGGAGTAGTTTTTTGTGTTATGAATTTGTTTCCCCACCCTCTAATTTTTTTTTTTTTTTTTTTGTACCTACAAATTTGCAAATGTTGCTATTCAGTCTTGTCTAAATTGTTCATACACTGTATGTTTTAAACACTAAACACTGTTTTAAACAAGAACCCTTAGGCACTCCACTTGCTACAAGTTTCCTACTCATGCTTAACTCCATTTATGCAAACCATCTGTTTCCTTTAAAATAACCATGTCTTTATCCAACTTATGATAGCTTTCCCAAAATACTATGTACTTTTATAGTTGTAATGAGTTTTGTGAGGCACAGTATCAAAATCTTTATTAAAGTCAGGGTATATAATGTCACAGACCTTTCTGTTATAAACTACCGTAATTGAAATATACTGAAAGAAAATGAGAGTAAATTTGTTAAACACAAGCGGCCATTAGTAAAATGTAAAATCGTTTTATCTATTTTTCAAAATGAAAATAAATTACTTGTGCAATCATTGTTTGAAGCAATTTTCATACAGTAAATGTCAAGTTATAATTGGCCTATAATTTGACACAGATAATCTATCCCTTCTTAAAAATCGGCACCAAATTCATAGCCCTCCACAATTCCAGTTCTCTACTTGACTCTAATAATTTATTAAATGTGCAGGACAAGGGGGCCTCTAAGCTCATTTTTACCTTCATTACGGACACTTTAAAATACTGTATCTGGCCATGAGGACTTCTTGGGCTTTAATATAATAATATTTTAACAACTTCTTTGCTAACTACATAGATTTGATCATCTGCAAATAAAATATAAAACTCTTCTCAAAGTAGGGAGATAAATTATTTGGAATACTGTACCGACAATTTTTTTATCCTAATAAATTACTTGGCCCATCTCGTTTTTCAGTGCCCCAGTCTTCTTAAACATTGATTATCTGAAAGAACCTTTTAGGATTTTGTCTTTACCTGCCCTGCTGTATGCATTTCATACTTTCTTTTAGCTATATATTTTTAATTATTTAAGGTACATTTCTCATTCTTAATTCATTTGTGCATGGGTTTTTCCAATCAATTTTTTTAGTACCATCTTTATTAATTTTGGGTCATTATTATTTAATCTAAATGGTTTACTGCATTTCTGGACTTGAGTTAGAAAATTTTAAATAAATGGGAATTTGCATATATATTATCATGCAAGTGTCAAGTGGGCCAATGATGTTGTTGCATCACACCCAAACAACACCTCCCATATTCAGGTCAGACCAATCTCCCCTCCTCTAGTTCTTCTTAATCCTTCAAAATCAGTTTTACAGAAATTTCCCAGTGTGTGTTAAATCTAATTTCCTTGTGATCAATGTTTTTTGAAGCGCACACACATTCTTTCAAAGTTATTTATTAGCATCTCGGTGTTTGTCAGGCTAAGTTTACAATGTTATTTCCCTGTGTTGGTTTAATAATGTGCTGTTTGCAAAAGTTGTCAACAAAATTCTAAAGAATCTTCCATCTCAGCATTCCCAGTTTTCTTAGTTCAGTTTATTAAATTGAAATCACCAATAATGAAAACATTTAGTACTGGATGATGTAGATATTTCTCCTCACATATGCTTTCCTTCCATTCTGTCAAGGTTTGGTGGCCTATGTATACTATATCCAAGATATATAGTCGTACATTTCTACTGTACGGATATCATTACAGTATTTTCATTTAATTCTATTCAAATAGTTTGTGTGACTCAATCTTGATTCCCTGTTTGACACAACATTTTAAATTTTCACTGACATATATATTGTTGCTCATCCACTGTGTGTAATCTGTCTTGTTAGTGTGAAATTACTTGAATCCCTTAATTTTTATACCTAATAATTTCCTGCTTTCTACAATTATTCATTTATTTAATCAAAATAGTATCTATTGTTTCTGTGCACACAAGTACACTTAATTTATCTATTTTATATCTATTACTCCTACTATTTATGTAATGTTCTGTGTTTAAATCATTTTATGGTTTTGCTTGTGCCTGTTCATTTCCACCATTATACATCATAAAAATCCTTTCTTTCTTATTTTTTGCCCCAATACTTTACTTCTACTTTCTCAACTTGATTTTCATGTTTACAGTCATCTCACTGTCACTACAAACTCAGACCACTATCATCTACCAGTTTAAACCTTGACAATTATACCCTTCTACAGCACTAGCTAATGGTGCCACCACACTAGATAGGGGCACTTCCCATTCCATATATACATGTCATATCTGCCATAGAAGTTATCACATTTGTCTGCAAAAGAAATTCAATTGGCCTTGCCATATAAACTTAGCCGGCAATTAATACCATTTGGCTTGAATATCCATTCATTGGCAACTTCACTTCTAGGCAGGATTGTCACACATTACATTATTGAACTTACAGCTACCATTGTTCAAAAAGCACATTCATAAACTGTTCCAGGTAACAAGCAGCAACAGTAGCATTCCCAACTAAGGGAATGTCACAAATTTTTTCGACAAATAAAACAAAAAATTACATCATTTCACTGCAGTAACAGGAAAAAATATGGCATTACAGTACTACCCAGAAAGGACAACACAAGCACTAGTGTTATTACTGCCACCACCAACTAGAATAATACTGACTTCACAGCTGCTAAGTATACTCTCACTGATAACATCTCTACTTTCAACAACAACATTACTGTCATCAAGAATAGTACCATCAGTTTTAATACAATCATCCACATTACTATCAACTGCAGTACCACAATTGCTGTGTCACCATAATCAACAAAAGTACCTGCACCAATAACAGTACCACCAACAACAAAAGTATCACCTTCACCAACAGCACCACCACCACCACCACCACCAACAATAAAAGTACCATCTCCACCACCACCAGCAACAACACTTCCACCACCACCACCAGCAACAACACTTCCACCACCACCACTTCCACCACCACCACTTCCACCACCACCACCACCACTTCAACAACCACCACCACCACCACCACCAACAACAACACTTCCACCGGGTCCGTCTAATTACCCAAAGCTACACAAGCTTCACAAATCTTCCTGGCATTACGTTAGTAATGAATAAATATGATATATTTACTCATTATAATGTTGATGCTGAATGTACAACATGGAAAAACTATTTTTAATCTGAAAAAGTATCAATTTATAAAGAAATTAGATGAAAATAAAGAGCTGGTGACGCCAAATCAAGTCGACGATCCAAGCGACAATGTTGTGGAGCGACTTATCGAAGACACATTGTTGCCTGGAGAGTGTTTGCTGGCATATCAGCCTCTTGTACACACGTTGCATTTCTCTGCTCAAATTGTCACAAATTGAAAAATAATATAAACTACAAGAATGCATATTTACAATAATATTTAGCATAAATAGCCAAAAAACATTTAAGTTGTATTAAAAAATAGGTGTTTATTTTAGTACTAATACAGTAGTATTAATACACATTCTACTTGTTAATATCAACAATTAATTTTGTGAAAATTTGAGCCAAGAAGTGCGACGCCTGGATCACTGTGTACAGGAGACTGATATGTCAGCAAACACTCTCCAGGTGACTATATATCTTGGATAATTTGTTCCACAACACTGTTGCTTGGACTGTCGACTTCCTATGGCGTTACCTGCTACATAATTTACTTCCAGTTTTGTTATGAAATTAGATTATTTCAGAGTAAAAATAGGTCTAATCATGTTCTGAATTTAGCACCAACATTATAGTGGGTAAATATACCATATTTCTTCAGTACTTACGTAATGCTAGCAAGATTTTGGTGGATTTGGGTAGATTTGGGTAATTCTATGGACCCGTACCACCACTACTAACAATGACAACAGTTCCACTACCAGCAGCAAACAATAGTACTACCACCACCAATAACAGTAGTACTACTACTATTACCACCACTAACAACAATGGTAGTACCACCCCCACTAACAACAATGGTAGTACCACCCCCACTAACAACAATGGTAGTACCACCCCCACTAACAAGAATGGTAGTACCACCCCCACTAACAACAATGGTAGTACCACCCCCACTAACAACAATGGTAGTACCACCCCCACTAACAACAGTAGTACCACCACCACCAACAGTAGTACCACCACCACCAACAGTAGTACCACCACCAACAATACCACCATCACCACCAACTGTACAGGTGTACCACCAGCAACAGTAGTGCCACTACCCAGCAACAGTACCACCACCACATCAGTACTTTTATTTCAACCATTGATAATGATAATGTTTATTCAGGTAAAAGTACATGTAATCAAAATTAGTTACAAACATAATGTTGGATTTCATGATAGAGCTAGTACATACTATGCCTAAAGCCACTAATACACACAGCATTTTGGGCAAGGTGTGGGAACATTACTTCCAACTAACTAATTTGAGGGCAAAGATTTATACAGTATTTATAAAAGAAATAGTATTTAAATGACCTTCAACAGCTCTAGTGCCACATGACATGAATAGAATCATATTAATAAAAGTTCTCCCAAACCCACAACCAAAACATTGGTTTCTATCACAATTAACACTGGACACTTACTGTACTAGTTCTACCACTATATTGCTGCTGCTTTCACATAAACATCACTGATTTCATCATGCTGTAAGCTGTACTGCTCGTTTCATAATCATCACACCCACTATCAGCACTCGCATTTTATTTAGAATAATGAAACACAACCATATACTGTACTACTTTCACTATCATCTATTTACTGATAATACATCACAGTACTACATATGGTAAAGCTTGCCAAACAACACCTGAAAAATTATTCCCAAAACTAATGCATTTCATCATCTGGAAGTATTAGGCTATCCACCACCATGTCATGTTCAGCTAATGTGTATACAGTCAGCCTTCGCTCTCCTTGAGGGGATGCATTCCAGGAAACCTTAAGTACAAAATCATTTTTAGAAAGTGAACTTAAGGTTTTATGGGTGAGAAACTAATAAAACACAATAAAACATTACTTCATCATTAAATACTCCTGCTATCTTCACAGCCACAATTATACTGCAATGTAAAAGTCTGTTTATTCAATCACCAGTTGCATAGATGATAGGAGTAAATATTACAGCATTTTTGGAAGGTTTCGTGGTGTAAGAATGTACTGTACGGTTGTCTAAAAACTACATAAAGCAAAAACCTGCTCTCATGGGTAATGTGTGTGTGTTTCTAAGGGAAGTTTTGTATTAAATACCTGCCTCATGGATAGTGAATTTTGATAAATACTGTACCACGCTCATGGATAGCATGGGCTGACTGGAATTGTAACTTTAATGCATTACAATCACAATAGAATAACTCAAATAGTAACTGCTTCTGAATTGTTCTGATTACATCATTTAATCACCTTATCTTAGTATACTGACATCTGTACAAATATTGTTTACTTTCTATACTTTTTAGTAACATGCATTAGCCTACTCTTCATGAAGTTTTAGCATTTGAAATACTGTATTTTACAATATACTGTAATATTAAAGTACAAAAACATTGTACAGTACCTGTATTGTCAGCAAAGTACTTTATTGTTGTTTGACTAATAGCAATTTTTCCTGTACAGGCTTATTGAATGTTTTTTGTATAGTAAAACATTATACAGTAATAGTAAATAAATAAAAAGGGTTCAGTACTGTACATTAAACAAAAATTAAGCTGCTCTTATGTACAAATTTGTTGTTATTTCTTTATATTTAATATAGATTTAATTTTGCTTCATATGCATAATAAGGCATTTATAAATACAGTAATAATATTTTATTAGAATAATTTTATTACTTTTCATTGTTTGCTAGCCCATATTTTCCTTTGAGTAGTTTTAGAGTGTACAGTAGTTTTAGCCACCAGTTCATTGTGCTGAAGATCCACAAGGGAGTTCCTGAATGCCACTGACATTATCTGCATCTTGATATTTCCTTCATATCAATAAGAAAGTTCTTTGCGCTCTTCATGTGACAAGAAACCAAGCAATGTGTGTGTGTCGTCTTCTTTATCTGGCAAGAATGGGCAGTAAGCTGGCTGTGTATGGTTGATTTTGTACAGGACTCTAACATTGGTCCTATTTTCCTTCTAGCCTCCTCCGGCCACCCTACTTCAGGCACCAAGGCAGGCTCAGGTATCTAGATTTCCTCCTCTCATGCATGACCCTTATTCACCTTTTCTGTCCTTAGCTCTCCATCACTTTAAGGTTTCTCCTCTCCATGCTCTTACTCCATATCCAATATCCATTTGTTGTCCTTTGACCTTACCAAGTCACCTTGTCACTTTGATTGTCTACCTCCACCTCCTTGTCTTCCAACCCCCATCCATGGATGTCCTATCATTCCAGCAGTGAGTAGCTATTTTTACTCACAACTGACTGCCTGTCATTTGTTTGGATTACTTTTGGTTGGATATGTTACAACTGCTGGAAACTTCAGAATGTTTTCTTATTTTTGGTTACTGTTATGACTCAGTTGCATTGGCATGATGCCGCGGCATGGTGTGGTAGGTGGACACGAGCGCCAAGCCACATTTCTGCTTGCCCAGTACTAATATGAAATCCTACTCGCCCTCAATACGTCCCAGTTTGATCTAACCAACTTGGCAGTGCTAACATGCATAAATGCTGCTATTGGATGCTCCAGCTGCTCACACACTTGGTTGTCTCTCCCTTAGCTCAAGGCAAGAATAATCTAACTGAAGCAGATCTGGCTGTACTGGAAAGTATGGTGGTTGCCCAGGAGGCTGAAGTTGAAGAAATGACATTCACCCACGCCCAAGCCGAAATACAAGCCGAGGCAAATTTAATTAAACCTGATACTGACAATATGATTCTTGATTCTGTTAAATCATTGAAGATGAAGAAATTAGCCAAACCATCTACAATTATGGAAGATCCCCTTCTAACTTTTCAGGCTCCATCACTTTATTCAACAAGGGATGTAAATGCAGCAAGTAAAGCAACAGACACTGGACAACAGTTAGGTGACCTAACAAAACGTGTTGCAGATGTTGCCTCAACAATGGCATCCACTTTAGAGAGTATTACAGCAGTTGCTGAAGGATTGGAAGGAAGTCATTTATCTAGTGATGAAGGGGAAGAACAGCTTATGCTCATGCGTGATTCTCCACGCTGGGAGGATGAAGAGATCCAAGCTGAAGAAACAGATGAGCCAAGAGCTATTAAGGCTGAAATCAAACTTCTTGTTAAAACAACAGAGTTAGGCAAAGAATCAATTGAAATTAGAAGTATTCGAGAGTTTGTGGAATGTGAAGATAAAAATCTGACTGGTTTTGGAGGAGTTGTGCCGTCCCCATCTCTTGAATGTGGCCGATTAACACCCATGGGTGACAGAGTATATACACTGCAAAGAGCATCCACAGATGTGCGTTCTCCCAGCCCCAGGTTTGTTCGGCCACAACAGCCCTCCACAGATTCATCCTACACTGAGCCCACACAGGACGAGTTTGATCTCATGGCTCAAGTGCGAGGTAAGGCAGGCTTTTAGCTTGCTGCTCTAGTACTTGTGCTGCTTCTTAGCAATCTTTTTATGTGTGACTTAAATACTTAATCCAACTAAAACTCTGAGGAATGTATTTGACAAACTAACCAAATAAGTAATTTGGATGGCATTGCTACACACCATTAGCCTAGCTCTGATATAATGAAACGAAGGCTGTGGCAAAAGTGAAAGTCTTGTGCCTGTTGATGCTTCTAATCTTCAGGCATTACAGCCCTTCTTCCCTCATGTGTTTCAGACGGTGGCCTTCATGGTGGTTGTCCTGAAGCACAAGGCATGGACTGGGAGGGGAAAAGTGTAGACAGCATGTATACTGAAACTGTGGTGCAGGCTAAACTCTCCATGCTCCCTGAAGTGGACACCAGCGAGGGTGTTGCCCCTACCTCCCCTCCCTCCTCTACCCTTCCCCCTGCTGCTTCTTCACTATCAACTACCTCTCTCTGTTCAGACCTGCCTCATATAACCAACATCCAGCCCCAGATTCACACATTCCAAGACCTTACTAAAGAATCTTCTCAAACCCTCTTACACCTGGAACCTTCTCATCTGCATGATTTTCATTCTGTTGAATCTCAGGGTTTTGACACATCACCATCTTCTGCAACTAAATTATCAGATCCTATTTTCTTAGAGAAGGGCCATGTTAGTGGTGCTGAAGCTACTGTTAGCCATCTTGTGACATCCCCTTCATTCGCTTCCCTGCTGTCTGAAAGTGTTGCCCCAATCACAGGAACAGATGAAATAGCAGCTGCTAGTGTAACCTTCAACACTAGCAGTGCTTTTGTATCTCTAGGGCCAATCTCACCCACAGAGAACTCAAGTGAAGATCATGCTGAAATTGATTGTACTAGTACAGAACTATCTCCAGACAGTGTGCGCTTTGAACAAGATATACTTGACACAAGAACTGAAGATGAAGCTCCAGACATAGATGATGACCTCTTCCCTGCTTCTCCGGTGCTAGGACCAGAACTCAGTGAAAGAATATTTTCTGTGGAGGCTACAGAAGATACAGACATTACAACACCAATGGAGATGAGAGATTCACATACAGAACGAGATGCCTCTGCCTCTAACCTGGAATTTGTTGATGATAAAGAGGGCACAGATCTTCTTAAAGAGTGTCTTGTTGAAGATAAAGATGAAAGCATTGCATACTTAACTCAGGAAGTAAAAGAAGTTCATAATAAGGTAAATAGGCTGCAGGAGCAGGTAGAAGCTCAAGTTGACCCTATTACAGCTAGTTCAGAAATTAAAATAATTCTAAATTCAATGGAAGACATTAGAGAGGCTGTGGGGAATGATAAAATTGAAAATAACCCTGAGTTTAATAGTATGGCCCAAGACATTCTCTCTAATATTAATTCTTTGTCTGAAACAGTTGCAGAAATTATACAAAAGTTACATCTCTCTGACCCAGAATACAAGTACTCTGAATTTTGGAGCAAAGATGAAACAAAGGCAGCAAGAAGAACAGAATCTACTATTGTTGAAACTGGTTCAGCTGAGGATGGTAGCCCATCTGATGCAAATCATCGTGATCAAAGTTTTTCAGATCTCTTGGATTCAGAAGAATTAAATCGTGATAGCCTTGAAGAAGAGTTTGATCTCCTTGCTGCTGATCTAAGTTTATCACCAAAAGCTACCAGCTCTGCTGCTCCTTCTGTTGTTCTATCTTCTCCTGTTTCTTCTAATGTTTATCCCTCCACACCTCCTGATGCTTTACAGGCCACACAACGGGAACCAGGTATGGAACTCGCTTGTGGTTCTTCTTATGTAGGCCATCATCCATCATACTGACAGTATCATCCTTACCCAACTTTGATTTTAGAGATAGTTTTATTTGTATATATCATTGCTTAAAAAACCTTACAAACATGTGACTGATAGTGTGTAATTATTTAAGCTGAATGGGTTTGGGTATTATTATTTCACAGCTGAGGGTGGTACATCTAGCCAACAGTCTGTGCAGTCAGAAAAGGATGTAGTGGTGTATAATGAACTGCAACAAACTGATGGGGACACTAAGGTTGATGATGAATTTGTCGAAGCTGGTGGTCCTTTGTCTGAGGTGAAGGCAGATTATGGTCATGAAAAATGTTCTAATTCCTTGATAGCTATGAGTAGTAAAAGAGTTAATGAGCTTGATACGTTTAATAAGTCCAATGAGACTTCTGAAACTGAAAGCTCACTGAGCACTTCTAATACCCATGGAAATGAAAATGGTGGCAAACCAACTCGTGATGAAATAGAAAGCGTTGTAGTTCGTCGTGAGTCGAGCAGAAGTGGTCCACGACCCACCACTTTTCCTCTGTGTCTGTTGCAACCAGAGGTCGTGAGTTCCTCCCCAGAGGCACAGCAATATTTTCGGCAGCAGCAGGAAGTACTAGAGGAAATGGGACGCCAGGGACACTTGCAGATGGATGTAACAGATTTAAGAGATTTAACATCACCTGAAAGTCTGGCTGAAAGCAATGAGTTTGAGGATAATGAGGCAGAGGAGATGGATTGTAACGCAAGGCGAATCCAACGTAAGCTTGTCAAATCATCTTCAAGTTATGAGAATTTATATGATGGAGCAGACCTTAAGCCTATGAAGAGTGAGGATGCTCCCTCTACATTGCAACTGGCAAATTCTCTTGGAGATCCCTTTACTACTAAAACACAACTACCTCCTGAAATGTGCTCTAGTTTTGAAAACTTGTACATGAAAGCCCAAGAGGCTGATGATAAAGTTGTCCATGAGGCTGGCCTGCTCTCAGTAGCAATCCTAGGAGAGGCAGTACAGGAAGCTGTACAGGAGGGACGGGTGCAAGACACCACTCTCCATGTAACTGCTTCTCCTGCCCCTTCACACACTGCATTCTCTGTTCATGGTTTGACCTCTAGTCATGAGGGCATTTTGCATTCCAGCTCAGAAGAGTCTGGCAAAGCAGGTATTTTGGTGATGTAGCTGCAGCCTTTGTATTGGTTTGAACAACTAACTAGCAGCTGCAACTAGATTCTTTTGAGTTATGACACTAACATGTTTGGAATGTGTCAGGATTTGTCATGGTATTTTAATAGTTCATGGCTTTGTTATGTTTTGTCTCTACAAGTTGTATGAACATTAACATACATTGATTTCTTTCAGATAACAGTGACGGCATGTATTTTGTTATGTAGTAGCTTGTGTTGGGTCCAGGGACACCATTTGCTCACATCACCATTTTGTGTCATAATATGTAATGAACATCTTGAAAGACGGGCCTAAATAAGTCCTCCTGCAGTTTTTGTAAAAAATAATCAATATCTTCTTGTTCTTTTGAGTAACATGGCATTTGTTAGTGACCTGGCATTGGTCAGACGGCCTGTTGATGAAGTTTATCGTCAAAATATGCCAGGCAGTATTTACTCATTGTTTGGGGGTACAGTTAACACCATTTCCTCATCTATGAACATTTTACATGTTCAGTGTAGGTCACAGTAGCCAGGCACAAACAAGTGTAGGACAGTTGGTAAGTAGTAGGTATTTTGTTTGTGTAGACATTGTATAATATGCACGCTGAGTGTGAGGTGAGTGAGTGTGGTGAAAATGGTGGGTTCCCTTGAAGATCATAAGTTCCCATCACACTTGAAATGTGTGCGTAGTCAGGTTAGCCTGACAGCATGTGGCATGAGTGAGACCTGTGCCATAACAAGTGTGCGTGTGACGTTTACTAATAGTGTGCTACTAACTCTTGTTCTAGATGTGGGAGTGGTGTTTACAGAGCATAAAGAGTATGGGGGCAGGGTGAAGCCATCTGCAGAGACGACAGGCGGACATTCGCACATTTCACCCTCACCTAGTCCTCATCCTTCCCAGAGCATCCAGTCCTCATCCTTCACTTCATTCCAGCAGAAACTTCCAGGCTCAGCAGCTGTTACATTGGAAGAAGACCATCATACCCATGATGAGTGTCCTCCTCCTAGCAGACCAGTCAGAAGGCATGAACGCACTTTCTCCCAAGCAAGCAATATATTTACTGGGGCTATTCCTACAGAACCTAAGCATGAACCAAAAAAAGAGGAAAAGCAACCAATAACTGAAGAAAGTACTGGAATAACTGAAAATATCAAACCCTATTCTGAACGGAAACAGTTTTGGGAAAGTGTTACTTCTCATTCGTTTGAATCTAAAGGTAGCACTTTAATCAAAAGTGAAACTGAAAGTGACACAGACACAATAGGAACTGATGGAACTATTGTTGAAAGAAAAACAGTGCAGGAGAAAAAGGTAACTGCAGTAGAGAGCACCGACTCGGAGACAGAATATATTCGGCAGAGAGATGACCCAGCATTTTATGAAAATGCAGGCTTTGCAGGAACAGAGAGAATTGATGTTCCCAAAGAGATAAGTAGAGAGAGAGCTGTAAGTCCATTTGAAGTTCTTCGAACCAAGGAATCTGTGGAAGATCTACCATCTCCTGAAGATATAGCATATAAAGATGTTTCATCAAAGAGGGCACTATTTGAAAAAGAAATTAAAAGGCAGTCAATGGAAATTGAAGAAAGTCAGTCATGGAAGCGTTCATCAAAAGAATATGATGAAACGGTAGTGATAACTGAGGAATTGGCATCAAGTTTACTGAAAAAGAAAGAAGAAAGTGAACACCAGTTGAAGGAGACGATAGAAAAAGGTAAAGACACTGTTACACAAAAAATGGAAACTAAAAAAGATGACGTATCAAAAACTGATATAAAGAGAACAGAGATTAAATCTAAGACTGATAAAACTGGCAGTAAGGAAGATCATTCAGAAACTGTGGAGTCATCCAAACTACATCATGAGAAAATGGAAACTAAAGAGAAAAAAGTAATATCAGAAGTTAGTACTTCAGGTAAAAAATCTATGACACAGACAGATGCTTCCACTGAAAAAAAAGAAAAGGAAAGCACTGAAAAAGCAGCAAAGGTAATTCATGAAAGGAAAGATAGCCATAGTGGTACTTTTTCTAAAACTATATCAAAATCTGAGGAAAAGACAGAAAGTTCATCAGAGGCAAAAGAAACCATTCATATTGTATCTACAGAGGACCAAGACACTTCTCGTGATGAAATAACAGAGGAAGATATGACCAGGACGGAAGAAACTTCAGAAGAAGAGCCTGATGATGTGCTCTCTAGTGACAGAACAACTGTGAATATAACAGAGGAATCACGACAAGTGGGTGACACTCATGAGACAGTCATAAGGGAAACTACTACTACGAGAGATGGTGACCAGGAGCAACGAATCATTAAAGAAACAAAGACTCAAGAGACTGCAATGGCTGATGGCTCTACTATCAAGACTACATCCATCACAACATTCACAACACAGCTAGATACAAAAGAAACTGATAATTTAGAAAGACAATCTAAAACTCGAACTGAAACATTTGAAAAGCATATGGCTGAAGAACCAACAGAGAACTTTCAAGAGGAAAAACATATTTATAGTGGTAAAACTGCAAAAGAAAAATCTGAAGCATTTGTTGAGCAGCGCATGAAATCTGACATTTTTTCCGAAGAATTGTCATCGTCAGCTGAAGACCAAAGTCCAGAGCACAAAGTTATAACTCCTATCGATACTAAAGCTCCAGTTTCTTTGCAGACACAGGTTACTTCTCAACCTAAAAGCCCTATTTTACTACCAAAAGAAAATGTGCAAGAAATTGTTTGGGAAGTATCACAGGAACAGTCAGAAATAGTCATGTCAGAAACAGTTCAAGATATTCCTGTTCAGCAACCTTTCAAATCTCATTTTGTAAAAGATATATCTGTAGATGATCACAAAAAATCACAGAAGACTCATAGAAAGTCATCTAGTGGGTCAACTAAAACAAAATTAAGCGAAGAAGAAGCTAGAAAACTTGCAATCGAAATTGTGGAAGAAGTGAAGACAGAGGCAGTAAAGCGATCACCACTTGCCACTCCTTCCCAGTCTATGAATGAATTTTCAGCTGAATTGCAAGATGTTTGTGATGGATCTGTAGAACAATCGTTGCCTAGAGCAACCCCTGAATCTGCATTTACAGAAGAAACTACCACAAAGATTGAAAAGTACATTCAGGAGCAGTTAGGAGATGACATGGATGAAAAGCAGCTCAAGCTTATTGAATCTGTAACTGCTAGAAAAACAGAAATGTTGCATAAAAAAATGGTTGGTAGTGAATACCAACAGAGCATGGAAATAACAGATGAAGACCTTCGTTCCAGTGGCGCAGAACTCTCTCCAATTGAACACCAAATGGAGCGTTTGCGACAGATGACTGAAGACGATGATAACCAGCGTTTTCCTCGGGAACCTTCAGAGGCAGATGAAAGTGAGAGTTCTATGATAATTCATGAAAGTGTTGATGACATTATATCCAGTGAATATGATCAAGCAAATCAAATGATATCAAAAACATTAGATGCTCTTAAAACTGCAGATATCAACAAAATTGAAAAATCAATAGAAACTATCAAAGAAATGCCAGATACAATAGTTAAAACTACTGTAATTGTAAAAGAAGGCATTATGTCTGATGCACAAGAATTGATAAAGCTAAAGCAGAGTGAAGTTACGGAGACTGCACGTAAATTGGTAAAAGAAGTAACTGAAAAAGCCAAAGAATCAGAAGCAGTAAAACAGGCATCTTTACCCACTGAGCTTAGGCAGGCATCTGGAAGTTGGGAACAGAGTAAATCACCCAGTCCAAAATCAGGATCAAAACCAAGCTCTAGAAAAGGCTCTTGGATGGACGATGATGAACTAAGACGGGATTTTCGGAGAGATTATGAAGACAAGAAGAAAATGTTCAAAGAGGAAATGACCTCTGACAAGCAAGACGTTTTTGATGGAGATGCCCATGGTGATAAAGCTGAATACTCAAAAATTACACACCAGAAGAGTAGCGAGTCTCATAAAGAAATTCACATGGAATCTAGTATGACTGAAAGTATGGAAGAATCCAGCACTGTGGAGAGCATCCGATCCTTTGAAGGTAAATTAAGACCAGAAGTTACTACCTCTGTTATAAAGGAACAAAGAGAGGTTGAAACGGAAAAGAAACAAGAAGAAAGATCTTTCAGCAGCTATGAAGAGGTTGTGATGAGAAAGAAAACTCATGTAGATGAATTTAATCGCCGATCTGGAACAGATTTTGACACTTGTTCAAGTTCTGGGGAAAGTCATTATTTTACTGCAGCTGAAGGAGCCTCAGATAGCCGGACAGCAAGTCGGCCATGTTCGTCAGATGTAGAAGCACTAATGTCGGAGCGCACTGGCACTTCAGAGTATGATACTGCTCTTACTTCCCAGGATACGTCTCAATACTCAAGTTATTCAACTTCATCACAAGATTACCGTACACCAGGAAGCTCCTTGAGTTCAAGAGATTCCATGAAATCTATTGACTCAGAAAGTTCTGGGAACCTTGCTAGTGTGGAACTTAGCGAGGCTTCGGAAACCTTAGTACCCTCAGCAGTGGAACTTGAAAAGGATATGGATCTTTTGGAACAGGAATTATTTGAAGAAGAGCTGTCACATTCTACTCATCACACAATTATCCCGCAGTTAACTATTCAATCAGATACTCCAAAGTCAGAGGAAATGCCATGTGCATTTGATGTGGAATCTGATGAAGGTGAATTTGACCAGGAAACTAAAGATGAGGAGAGAGAAGCTCACATTACTTCAAGGATGAAGAGATCAATAGAAATGACATTTCATCCAGAGCCTAAGCCTCTCACTGATGATAAAAAAGCTAGTGTCACTGAAAGTGTAGCTTCAAGTTTAGAGGAAAGCACATTATCAGAGATGTCAATTGCAACGGTAATAGAACAAGATAAAAGTATGCAAGGTTCCACAACTGATTCAAACATGTCTACATCTAGTGTTTCTGAACATATGGTTTCATCGGTTGAAGGGCAAGAGCATGATCGTCATATTTCGAGAGCTGACAGTGGTGTATTGACGACAGAAACAGGAGATGGTGATATGGCATTGCATTCTGTTACGATTACAGCAACATCTGTACCTTCTTCTACACCAGATCAAAATACAGCTTCAATGTGTACACAAGTAACCTCTGAGACACGCTCTCAGGTAGAGTTAACAGAGAGCGAGCAGTTTTTTCACGCTAATGGACCCACTGAAGTAGATTATGTGCCTGAGTACGATGATGAGGAAGTACAAGGTGCGCGGCCAGTTGCAGCCTCCATAGCATCTCCTACACAGGAGGTAGCAGAAGCTGTAGCTGGCCCTTCAGAGGGCCCAGAGAAAGTTATTATTGTTGAAGAGTGTTACGAAACAGAAGCTGATCAGGAGTATGGTCAGATGATGCGTGAATGTGAGTATTCAGAGATGGCTGAAGCAGAACTTCAGTATTCTCTGGAGGAGCAGCCAGAAGCAGAAATGAGTAGTATGCTAGTGATTGATGAACCTTTAGAAAGACCTAGGACACCAGAGCCTGGGTATGTTTCATCTTCCCGTCCTTCACCAATGATTATCCAATCTCCTGATGAACCAGAGGAATTTACTGAAGTAGACAAGAGATTTAGTGCAGTATTTTCTACTACTTATGAAGAGAGAGAAGAAGGTGCAAGTGCCCGTTCCTTAGTCTCGGGTATGAGTATAGATGTTCCAGATATAACTATCACAGAGCATACATTACCCATGCCAAGTCAGTATTGTTACCCTGATCTCGAACGAGAAGAAGATTTTCCAGAGTGCCGAGCATTAGCTGAAGCAGATGCCAGTGCTCAGGAAATTCCAGCAACTCCAGGGTCTCAGGAATCGGCATCTAGCTGTCCATCACGTAAGTCTTCCTCAACTGATTCTGAGCAAGGCCGAGAATATTGTCTTGATGATATTGCTCAAGGACTGCCATTTGAGTCGTTTGAGATGGTGGAAGCTGAAGACATTGATGATTTCTCTGAATATGAAAGAACTCTTTGTATGCATGAAGAACGTATGTTAGAAATGTCACAAATTAGAGAGGAAGACGAGGAAGAAGTTGAGGAGGCACGTAAAACCGATTCCTCCCCAATTCAAATTCCTAGTCAGTTAAAGGCTGTTAAATTGGAAACAGATGCACAAAGCAGCAGTGATTCTCAGGCTCATGATTTAGAAGACCTCACAGAGGTGGGACCTGATCCAACTATTGAGGAACAAAGACGGTGGCTAGAGCTGCAGTTTGAGGAAAGTGATGCAGCAAAGTATGATTATCCCCAGGGTGGTTTTCTGGAGCATGTTTATTCAGGACCACTTGAAGATATTGAAGAAGAGCGAGACGAGGCTGAACGGCGTGATCTGTCACACATTGCAAAAACTTCATCATTATCCTCAACGCCAGAATATGATGTTTTAGCTGGTAGAAAGTTTTTTACTCGTAGTGGAGATCACGATGATATATCGATGAGCTCTCTTCAAGAATTCGAAAATCTTGAAAGGGCTGTTGCTGTAGAAGCTGTAGCAAGAAGATCTAGCTCTGGTTCACAAGAATCTCTAAATGGTAAAAGACCAGAAAGCAAAAGTGGCCAAGGTGATGACATCTCAGTTGGATCATTTGCATCTCTCCAAGAATTTGAGCGCTTGGAGAGAGAGTGTTTAGTTGTTGAACAAATTGAAAAAAAGGCACAGGAGGAGGAAGCCATGTTATCAGAAATAGAGGAAGGACATGAGAGCCAAGTTTCAGAATCAGAGAGTTGTGAGACACTATCTGAGCCAGGAAGAGGGTCTGTTGAGGGAGAGGAATATGACCAAAGAATGTTTGAGATTGATGAAATTATTCGTCAGGCACAGAATAATGTAGAAAGGTCTGACCAAAACAAACCTGGATATGAAGGAGTACAATTAAAAGATATTGTTAGTGTAGATGGCTCAGGAGATGATGGCACGAGTAGTAGCCAAGCTGATCGTACCCCAAGTGTTGGACGAGAAGATGGAGATGCCGATTCTTTAGAAGAGGCTCAGTTACCAGAGCTTGATATGGATCACCCTGCTGCAGGAGGAACTTCATCATCAACCAAGCAAGATGCAATGACACTGAGTACAGATAGTATAGAAGCATTATCCAAGCAAAAAGTCCCTCGTGAAACAAGTCAAGATTCCTTAGAAAAGTTACCAATGCGTACTTCTGATCCTATGGCCACTAGTATTGACAGTATAGATTTAACCAGCCGACAAGACCCTATGACTGCAAGTACTGACTCTTTAGAAGGTCGCCGTAAGCGCCAAGATCCTATGTCTGCTTCAACTGATTCAATTGATCCTTGCCGACGTGATGGAATGACCACTAGTATCGATAGCTTGGGCAGAGATGATTCTAGTGGTCGTGATGCTGACATCAGCTCGGGAAGTGAGCAAGTGAGACCACTCGGTAAAGATGGATTAATGGAATGCAGTACAGATTCCCTGGAACCATCATCATCTCAGGCTACACATGCTACCTACCAATATGATACTGATTCAGTTATGTCAGGCTCCTTTACCAGTGGTTGTTCTAACACACTAATTGCCTCAACAGATGAATTTCCAGATGTAATGACTTCTTCCATGTACCTCCCTGAAGGACAATTGCCCACAGAAGGTGATGAACAATATGTCAAATATATGCATGCTAGTGGTGGATCAACAGCTGAGATGGTGACATCATCCACTGAGCCAGGCTTCTCCCATTCTATTACTCGTGTAGTTAGATTGCCACCTGAGGCTCATAAAGTTACTTTTACAGGTCCTGATGCTCAAAGAAAACTAGAAGAATATATTCAGGAGTTTAATGCTGGTCAGCATTCTTCTCAAGATGAGGTTGTAGATGACCAAGGCAATGTACACATACGCCGTGTGACACAAACACGTGTCGTAACAGACCCTAGTCATATTCGAGAACATGGATTCTCTCTCTCTGAGCCTAGCACTCAGGAAACAGAAACGCGTGATGAGTATGGTAATGTGACACGTGTTATACGGCGAACTGTTGTTACCAGTCAAACCATCGAAGTTGATCTTGATACTGGAGAACCTATTATACAGCCTGGCCCAACCTCTTCCTCTTCCTCAAGCAGTTCCTTCTCCCGTATACCTAGACCAGTGACCAGTCCTCCTCTGGCCTCCCGGCCCACCCCTCCTGGTCCGCCCCCTGGGTCGCGCGGCCCACATGAGCCCGTCCCCCCCTCCCTGGAGCCCAACACAGTATCAGGTACAGCGTCTCAAGCGTCACTGTGTTGCACCGCCCGCTGGGTGTGTCTCCGCACTCTGCACTCCTCCAGCCTTAGTTCTCTTTCAGCATGCTGTGTCCGCATGACGTCACGCCAACCATCAGTCCTTAGTATTATTTTGTTTCCATCTGTAATTATTAGTTTTTTTGTTTATCAACTGCAGTATTTTGTCATCTAGAACCTTCATTTGTTTGATTTCCTTTCATCTGCAAGCATATTGAAGATGTATTATGATCTTGTAGATCAGTGGGGCTTAAGTATATCATAATTTATTTCCCTTGCATCATTGTGTATATATATTGCTATTGAGAGTGTCCCTTACTGTATGAGAAGTCGGTAATTTGCTACACTGTTGAGTTGGCGATGCGGTCCAGCGCTTGACTAACGAGTCTCTCTCTCTGCCTCGCTCACCAGACGTTGTGCAGCCGGACAGTGGAGCGGGGGCGCAGCAGGCGCCAGGTTATAAACCTTTGTGTGCTTTTTGCATTTCTGCTCGTTCCCTGGTTGTTTCCATTCACATCTTTGGTGTTGTTGTTGTTGTGTATTACTACTACTATTCATTTGGCAGTCCTGGAAGTGGTCTCCTTAACTTTGCATGAGTGGCACCAGGAGGGGAAACGTTCCCTATTGTGTGTAAAGCCAGAATGGGTGAGCCTGTCAGTCTTGTGACAAGGCTGGTGCTAGCTGTGACTCACATGCTACAAAGAGTCCACTTCTTTTTATTGCCTGGTGGAGGTTAACTACTGTTCTCCTGGTGCCTTTGTTGTTATCAATACCAGTGTAGTTATGGAGTTCCCTACCTGGAAGAAGTGGGCCACTAACCTGGTGGTGGGTAATCCACTTAAGGGGCAGCTCCAAAGGAGAAATATTACCAGTATAAAATGTTGATAACATTTTGTTCTGAATAAGTATATATACAGTGTACATATATATACCACTGAGAGATATAAACATGTTACTGGTTACATTTCTCCTCCACTCTTTACTCATTACTCCTTAACTGTACTGAACGCGGGCACAGAACCACTTATAACATTCAGAGATGAATCAGTATTAGGCATTTATAATGAGAGATTTTTTAAAACAGAATTAAATATCTCGGGCTACATAAAAGTGCAGATTGAGTGAGACGACCTTGATGGTGCCCGCGTTTATATTTTATTTTTGTTACTAATCAGGGTGTTTTATGTTTCAATTTCTGTGCATGCAAGTGCGTGCACAAACACACACTTATACATGTGTGTGTGTGTGTGTGTGTGTGTGTGCAGATATACACAGGGAGAGGAAAAATTACCTACTAATTATGTGCAGAGCTGAACAACTTCACCCTGTATGTATGTATATGTGTATATATGAATATATATGAATATATATATATATATATATATATATATATATATATATATATATATATATATATATATATATATATATATATATATATATATATATATATATATATATATATATATATATATATATGTCATACCTAATAGCCAGAACGCACTTGTCAGCCTACTATGCAAGGCCCGATTTGCCTAATAAGCCAAGTTTTCCTGAAGTAATATATTTTCTCTAATTTTTTTCTTATGAAATGATAAAGCTTCCCATTTCATTATGTATGAGGTCGATTTTTTTTATTTTAGTTAAAATTAACGTAGATATATGACCGAACCTAACCAACCCTACCTAACCTAACCTAACCTATCTTTATAGGTTAGGTAGCCGAGAAAGCTAGGTTAGGTTAGGTAGGTTAGGTAGTCGAAAAAGAATTAATTCATGAAAACTTGGCTTTATAGGCAAATCGGGCCTTGCATAGTAGGCCGAGAACGACGTTCTGGCTACTAGGTACGACATTATATATATATATATATATATATATATATATATATATATATATATATATATATATATATATATATATATATATATATATATATATATATATATATATATGTCGTACCTAGTAGCCAGAACGCACTTCTCAGCCTATGCAAAGCCCGATTTGCCTAATAAGCCAAGTTTTCCTGAATTAGTATATTTTCTTTAATTATTTTCTTATGAAATGATAAAGCTACAAATTTCATTATGCATGAGGTAATTTTTTTTTTATTGGAGTTAAAATTAACGTAGATATATGACCGAACCTAACCAACCCTACCTAACCTAACCTATCCTATCTTTATAGGTTAGGTTAGGTTAGGTAGCCGAAAAGGTTAGGTTAGGTTAGTTTAGGTAGGTTAGGTAGTCGAAAAAACATTAATTTATGAAAACTTGTCTTATTAGGCAAATCGGCCCTTGCATAGTAGGCTGAGAAGTGCATTCTGGCTACTAGGTACGACATATATATATATATATATATATGTCGTACCTAGTAGCCAGAACGCACTTTTTGGACTACTATGCAAGGCCCGATTTGCCTAATAAGCCAAGTTTTCCTGAATTAATATGTTTTCTCTATTTTTTTTCTTATGAAATGATAAAGCTACCCATTTTATTATGTATGAGGGAAATTTTTTTTTATTGGAGTTAAAATTAACGTAGATACATGACCGAACCTAACCAACCCTACCTAACCTAACCTAACCTATCTTTATAGGTTAGGTTAGGTTAGGTAGCCGAAAACGTTAGGTTAGGTTAGGTAGGTTAGGTAGTCGAAAAAACATTAATTCATGAAAACTAGGCTTATTAGGCAAATCGGGCCTTGCATAGTAGGCTGAGAAGTGCGTTCTGGCTACTAGGTACGACATATATATATATATATATATATATATATATGTCGTACCTAATAGCCAGAACGCACTTCTGAGCCTACTATGCAAGGCCCGATTTGCCTAATAAGCCAAGTTTTCCTGAATTAATATATTTTTTCTAATTTTTTTCTTATGAAATGATAAAGCTACCCATTTTCATTATGTATGAGGTCAATTTTATTTATTGGAGTTAAAATTAATGTAGATATATGACCGAACCTAACCAACCCTACCTAACCTAACCTAACCTATCTCTATTGGTTAGGTTAGGTTAGGTAGCAGAAAAAGTTAGGTTAGGTTAGGTTAGGTAGGTTAGGTAGTCGAAAAAATATTAATTCATGAAAACTTGGCTTATTAGGCAAATTGGGCCATGCATAGTTGGCTGAGAAGTGCGTTCTGGCTATTAGGTACGACATATATATATATATATATATATATATATATATATATATATATATATATATATATATATATATATATATATATATATATATATATATATATATATATATATATATATATATATTAAAATATACACACACACATGTTTTCATTCATTTTATTTATTCATATTTTCATTTCTAGTGTATTTTTTTGTGATATTCTGTAATACTGTACACAATAGCATGTTTTAGTTTTTGAATTCCCATTTTACTAGTTATAATGAGAGTAAACTTGTAAACTTTTCCAGCTATTAGTTGTGTGCATGTTGGGAGTTTGGTTCTGTTCTGTTATTTTGATATAATGTATGTATGCGTGCGTGTGTGTGTGTGTGTGTGTGTGTGTGTGTGTGTGTGTGTGTGTGTGTGTGTGTGTGTGAAAAAAAAAAAAAAATATATATATATATATATATATATATATATATATATATATATATATATATATATATATATATATATATATATATATATATATATATATATAAATAATAGAAAGCAGCAGTGGTACCACCATGAATAGTAATATATAATTTCTAATGAGTAAATGTTTCAAATGATTTTTATACCGATTGCTTTGGGTTTCATTTGTTTTAATGTAGAATATTCATAAAATTATTTCTCGTGTGCAGTATTAATTTTTCAGATGAATTTATACAAGTGTAGGCCTACATTGAAAATAGTTCAAATAGGGAAAATTGTGCGTCGGTTATAAAGGGCACTTCGTAATCCTTGATCTCCTTGATAATGGATTATGATCTATTCCTTTGGATAATCCCATATTAATAGCATCATGAGATTATTGCTACTTACCTCTTCAAGAGCACCTTGCCATCCTCTGCCTAACTCTGCTAATATTTTTATATTCTTTTAACATTGGCAAGGATATGAGATCCGTGCTCTCCATCCTGCTCTCACCCATACACTGACCAACATATGCTTTGTCAAGCTCTAATGCCACACATTTTATCTCATGGGCTTTATTATTTGTTTTGACATTTATTTCTTGGTTATTATTTAACCACACAGCACATTAATTACTGCTCTGCACAAAACGGGAACACAAGTGTAGGCCTACATACTAGAACAGTAGCTAATACTGTAACCATACGCTATTTATGCTTTCAATTACAGCAGAAATCTTTTAAAAAAAAAGGATAGTAAATTCTAAAGATCAGATATTTGGAAAAGCAAACTATTATTTTAGCTTTAATTAGTATTATCATCATCATATGTTTTTTTCATAAAAATCTTTGGTTCCAATCCTTTTCAGTATACTGTATAGTAAAAGAATAAGTGCCATTCTTGGAGATGAAATACAGTACTAATTAATTTTAAATAGTTCTGTATTCTGCATTTACATATAAGTTTTGAGGAGCAGAGGTAATGATATGATTTCTGAATTGCACACTTATACCAATAGAGTAAATACTGTATCCTTGATATAAAATCATATAAAATATAGGAAAACTACAATGCATCTTAGGGATATCTTTTCCCGGCTCATTGATGTACGAAATTAAATTGGTGTTCCTATGCAATTAAAGTACTGTAGTTATAAAAAATATATATATACAATGCAAGGCTTCACAGAAGCATTATCAAAAAATTTAAGAGATTTTCCTGTTTATAATAAAATTGTGCTGCTGCATGCTTCAGCTCATAATAGGAATAGAATGTGTGCAGTTTCAAAAATATTTCTGCTAATGCCAAATGCTTTGTTTCATTATTTTGAATTTAAATTATTGCAGTGTATACTGAATTGAGAAATGTTTTGTTTTCTTAATTTATTCTTTGACTAAAAGGAAATTTTTATAAACGTTTATTCACTCTCATATTCTAAACTACACCTCTTACTGTGCACTACTTCAGCTCAATAAACATCTCCTACTTTGTTTCCTTTGACAGTCATACTGTTCAATAACAGTATTTCAGCAACCAATGAAACATCTCCAGTATCATATCTTTGCACCTTTGAACATAGAAAACTCTCTCATGAAACCAGTCTGCTTAGTCTTGCTTGTCCTTTCCTTTTTACTTAGCAAACCTGCATCAATATTTTATCTAGCAAAATGGATGCTCCCCCCTAGTTCCCACCATTTTTTCACTTCCCTGTTTAGATACCTTACCACCCTAGTAGTTACCCTGTGTAATCTCCCTTCTGTAGGTTTAGGAGTCGAAGAGATGAGCAGTGTGATGGAGAGTTATACCAGTGATGGTAGTGACCCCATTACTACTACTCATATCACCAGGTATGATCCTGATCCTCTAACCACCACCACCACCACTACCACCCACACCACCAGGTAAAGTCCTATCCCACTCCTACCTCCATGTGCACTTGTATTGTAGAAGTTTTGTGTAAAATGACCACCTGTGCATATTTATTTGCTTAGTGATTTGTCATATACAGTACAGTACTTTATGAAGATTTGATTTTATTATTTAAAATAACAATTGTGTTTTTTTATTGTACTGTAATGAGAAATATGGTTTAATGGTGGTCTTTATTGCTGTCTATGTAGCAAGCTTCAATATGATCTTTGTATTAAGAAAACAAAGTAAGAATGCTATATGCCGAGCTATATTTAAACAGGTGTTAAATGTTGAAGCTTAGTCATTTCTCTAAACACTGCAGCAGAGCACAGCCACCCAACAATGCCTGACCAAGGCACTGAAAATGGGCGACACATTTTTCATTTGTTAAGAAAATTCCAAGTTTTGTAATAAACTTTTAAAACTAGTGCAGTGGCACCTCCAAAATCTTGATCAGTGGTAAGTGCTGTAGGTCTCGGGCGAAAGGGCCTGGGTTTGGTTCTTGCAGCAGGACAGGAACATTTTGGGAAACCTGGTTTTTGATCTGATGTTTTTGTTCACCTACCAGTAAGTAGGTACTCAGGCATTAGATCCTATTGCGACCTTGATAAACCTAATAGGCTTCCTGCCTTGCTTTTGGTAACCATGAGAGAAATCATACCATTCTGGGGCTCAATCTGGATATTTGAAAATTGCTCTTCTTTGGGTATTTAAGTTTTCCACATTTTTAATGTAAATTTCAAAATAAAAAGAACCATAGAATTTTATTTACAGTAAATATGCTCGGTTGATTTTCTAAGGCTCCAACGATTATATCCAACATTTCATACATCTACAAAACTTTTAAACATTATTGAAGCCATATTAAAATAATCACTATTAATACTCTAAATTTCTCCCCACACTTTATAGATGAACTTTGCAAAGTCTTAATTTCAACCTACATGTGATAGACATCTACCAAGAGAACCTGACTGTAAAGAGGTTTCACCCTCATTGTCAGTATTTATCAGGAACTAGCCCCCTTTGAATCTTCTTTTCTGGAGGGAGCAGTGGCTTCCTGTAGCTATTTTCCTGAGATTGCTTCATACTAGAGGTCGCATTAGTCGTGGAAGTTCTGTTTGGCCTTTTGGGGACTAGAGCCAGAATGTGGCCTGCTCGTAGAGGCACAGGGAGCAGGTGACAATCTGCCACCTCACCAGAAATAGCTTCCAGAAAGTCAGCACAGCTTTACAGACAACTGGTTCACAGAAAATGAAGCTTTTAACCCTTAAATTGCGCAAAACGTCATATGATGTGACATTGAAGGGGGTATAATTAAAAATATATTTTTATTGTGTAAAAAGTACTTAAAAATTTTAAACAAATCTCCAACTTATTGGCTTCAGCTTTGTGAAACTTTCATCAAAATATTTTCTGAAATTTATTTTAGACGAATATTAAAAAAAAAGAACGTTTTATTGATAAAGAGAACAGCTCCTATTAACTGGAACTGATGGATAATGCAATAATAAAGAGATGCAAGCACATGTCCAATGCACAAAGAAGCAGAATAGTAGTAAGAAGTGTCCACAAAGTGGATATACAGCTGATGCCTTTATAGCATTGGTGAGTAATGCAGTACATATAACAAATAATAATGAATAATTATGTTATTATGATCTATTTTGTTATATATCATATAAATACATTGCCCAGTGTTGTTATCAGTTACTTTCAAAAATGTCCAAAAAATATTTTTTTTAGGGGGGGATTTTTTTTCTTTGTTTATTATTTGAATTTGTTTTGACCTTTACATCCTGGAGAATGCATACTCGTCCCTAACTATGTGAAGCCAGAATTAAATTTTTCAACAAATAAATAACTCTCAGAACTTGAGACTGAATTTTTTTTGGCTGATTTTTTTCACAGATTTCAAACTCTATTTTACTTGTTTCTTTGATTGTTTTGATGCTTAGGGACCAGATTAGGGCTTTTTTACTTATAGAAAGTATACCCCTAGATATATTCCCTAAATCATTATAATTATTATACTGTAATTATCCCATTATTTTGTTTTTCTGGGGAGAGCCCCATCAACTCCCTGCAGCTATCCAGGCTGAATGAATATGTATAGCTTTCTGGCAACTGTCAAAGTGCTTGGAGTTCTTGCCTACCGGGAACCACGAGCCAGAACCTGGCCCCCTCAGAGAGGCACGAGGAACAATAGCCTATAGAAACTCCCCCTGTGGTTGGGAGCATTCTATGTCTGCCATCGACCAGGACAGGCACCCAGAAAGGTAGGCGCCCCAAAACAAACCCCTATTCTGGTGAAAATATTGCTGCCGAAAGCCAGCGAGTGGACAGAACTCCCCAAACAAAATTATCAAACTATCATCACGTCATCACGTCGCCGCGCCACCATCTGCGCAATTCCCCCCTCCCCTCCCCGGGAGGAGGAAGGGGAAGCCCCAGACCATCCGTGCCAGCGATCCAACTGGCAGTTCTTGGCTGATGTGATTACTGGTCGGTCGAGTGCCTCTGGCTCCAGTTTTGTTTCAGTTCTGTGCCTTGTGGTGTGGGCTGTCTCTACCGGTGGGGTGTGAGCCAGGAGTGAGATTCCACGGTACTCAGGCTGCATGCGCCTAGGGCTCTCTTCCCTAGGTGCCTTGTAAGTTCTGCCCTTGGGGCTTTGGGCCACCTTCCACAAGTCACCTTGGGTTCTGCCTCCGCTGTGTCCTTTACTGCTCAGACTGGACTGCCCTTGGAGTCAGCTGGGGTTTTGTTGCCCTTGTTTGTCTCTGGGTAGGAGGTAGTTTTTGTCACTTGTAGGGGCACGGGGTACTGCACAGCTAGTTTTCACCTATAACAGCGGCCGGCTCTGTTCCACCTGGGTATGTTGTCTTCTTGCGGGTTTTTCTTTTTTTTCTTTTTTTTTTGCCTGGTGGGGGTCTGCCTTTGTGGTCCCCCTTGGCTGTTCTAGGGGTTTATCTATATATGTTTTCTGTTTGGTGGTGCTCCCCGCTTGGCCCCAGTGAGTGGACACGTCCCGGGGGGGGGGGGGGGGGGGGGGGGGGGGGGGGGTCAGCTTTTAGAAGTTTGTTTGGTACACTTGGGCGCCAGTTCACAGTACCCTGCCTGGGCTTCCCTTAGCGTGTTACCAAGGCTAAGGGCCCTGGGAAACCCCGCGGGGGCTCTGTGGTCCAATGGATGTGACCCCCTGCGCCCCTCCCTCACGTCTTGCGAGTTTGAAGGTTGCTCTGTCCCCTTGTCTCAGGGTGACACTCGCCTGTTTTGCCTCCACCTTGTTGCCTGTTGGGTCGTTTTATTTTTGACCTGGAGTCATGCGACAGGTGTTGTCTGTATATGCTCTCATTCACCTGTGCCACTGGTCATAAACGGATGCAGGTAGCTGTGGCATTGCATGCTATCTAGAGGTTATCTTGAGATGATTTTGGGGCTTTTTTTTAGTGTCCCCGCGGCCCGGTCCTCGACCAGGCCTCCACCCCCAGGAAGCAGCCCGTGACAGCTGACTAACTCCCAGGTACCTATTTACTGCTAGGTAACAGGAGCATTCAGGGTGAAAGAAACTTTGCCCATTTGTTTCTGCCTCGTGCGGGAATCGAACCCGCGCCACAGAATTACGAGTCCTGCGCGCTATCCACCAGGCTACGAAGCCCCTTTTAGGTTTACGAGGCTAGGTTTAAGTTGCTGCAATGCTCTTGGTTGGTTGCGGTCCCAGATGCCCCAAGACTGCCCCGTTTTGGTTGTTGGGGTCCGGACTTGGGAGTGGGGGTTACTTCGGCTCTGGTTCCTTCTGCTCCTCCTAGTCCTATACCTTCTGTTGTGCATACTTCCTCCCCTTGCTACCGGCTCAGAGTCGTAGGCGGGTTTTGGGGTTGGAGCGGGGTCTGGTTAGGTTGAGACTCAGGCGGTCTTGGGGGTTTTCCTCTTCCTGGGTGGCGGCGGGAGCATTCGAGCTTGTTCCTCCAGCTGTGCCGTATGGGTCTGACCAGTGCGCTCCCTTCCTTAGAGTTTTACACGGCTGCCCCAGCTTTCCTTGTGAGGCTGGGGCTTTGGGGGTATGGCTCGACCCCGGGTCCTGCTGTTGAGGTTCCCAGGGCTGGGGAAGGGTTGATTGAGGGGCCTCGGGCTCCCGTTTTGCCCTGCTTGGGTCTTTATACCCTCGGTGCAGGGCTTGCAGTTCATCAGAGTGGGGTTTTTCATTCTCCCTCTGCGTTAATGTTGGTTTCAGGTCTACCCCTCCCTGGGTTCGGTTCCATGTCTCTTCGGGTCCGTCTCTCCCGTCATTCCTGGGGGTATTTTTCACCCCCTTTTTTCCTACCCCTTTTTGCGCTTATGTCGTGATTCTGTTCCCTTCGTATCGTGGTCCCATCCATGTCCCTTGCTCAGGGGTGTGTTTTTGTCCATATTTACCTCCGTGCATTTGTGTTTGTTTGTCGTGGTTCTTGTTGGTTCGCGGACCTCTTCGTACCTTCCAATATTATTGGAACGACTGTTGATTTTCGGTGAGGTTTCCCTCTGGTTCTTTTTCGGACTCGTTGGTCCCCTTCCATCCTTCTTGTTTTCTTTCGCTTCTGTTTTGTCTTATTTTGTTTTCACGTTGTCTCTCCTTCCTGTTTCGACGTTCCTCGTATTCTTTACGTATGTCTCCTGTGTACCCTTATACGTGTACCCCCACCCCCCCTTGTTTACTCTGTCACTTTCCTGCTTGACAGGGTTGGGTCGATGGATCCTATCAGGGTTGTTAGGTGTTGTGTGTTTTGCTTGGATGCCTTGTGTATGTTTTCTGTGGCTTTCCTTTGTCCGTGTAACTTGTTCTTTGTTGTACTGTGGGGCGCCCCGCAGCACCCCCCCCCCCACCCCCCACCCCTTTTTGGTGCTTTTTGTTAATTTTTCGGCACCTGGGTCTTTTCCCTATATTTGGACACTCCAT